TAGAGGGTCTTTTTTTATTAAAAAAAAAAAAAAACAAGTCAAAAGAATAGAGAATGCTAGTGTCAAAACTTTTTTTTTTTTAAAGAAGACAAGTTGTAAGAATAGAAATAGAGTAGAGAGTGCTAGATTTAGAGGGTCAAATGAAGATGGAAGAGATGTGTTTTTAGCCGTTTCTTGAATATGGCTAAGGACACAGCTGCTCGGATTGAGTTGAGCTGGTCATTCTACCAGGAGGGACCAGTTAATGTAAAAGTCTGTGAAAGTGATTTTGTGCTTCTTTGGGATGGCACTATAATGTGCCGTTCACTTGCAGAACGCAAGCTTCTAGAGGGCACATAACTCTGTCATAATAATAATAATAATTCTGTATAATACATAGTAAGTTAGTTGTTAAATTTAGGTATGGAGTTAGGATTAAGGGATCTAAAATATGGTCATGCAGAATAAGGCATTACTATGTGCTTTATAAGTACTAATAAACAGCCAATATGTTAGTAATATGCAGGCTAATAAGCAGCTTGTTAACAGTGAGAATTGGACCTTAAAATAGTGTTACCGAAGTCTGCAACTGTAAAATTGTAAAATGTTATTTCAATATAATATGACTGTTTTAATATATTTTAAAGGGGACCTATTGTACAAAATTCACTTTTGCATGGTGTTTGAACACTGATGTGTGTCCACAGTGTGTGTAAATAAACAGCCTATAATGGTAAAAATCCACCCACTCCTTTTTTTTTAAATAATCCCCATAAATCAGAAGCAGTATCTGAAATTACGCAGTTTCTGATTTCCCCTGATTCCTGATAAGCCCCGCCAATGACTGGTGACGATCTGCCCTATTCATATTGACCCCACCCTGATTGAACACATAGTCCGCCATGTTTATATCGTCGCTATAGCATCTATTTATGGTAAATATTGTCTGTGCCACATAAACATTACAAATGTTGTTTTTGGATGTACAACTGTGAGGCTCCAAAGACTCTCGGCATCTGAGCCACGGAGAACAATCACTGTCTGCATATTTCATAAATCATTTTTGACATTTTGGCTGTGTGAGGTTCTCCGGTTTTGTTGTTGATGGACTATCTGTAAAGGCTCCGCCCTCTTTCCAGAAGAAAGCAGCAGCTCATTTGCATTTGGGTCATATGATATGATTTAAATTTTTCTTTTCTCTTTGGAGTGTTACAAGATCTTGGTGCATAAAGAAGATCTGTAAAGTTGCAAAGACTAAAGTCTCAAATCCAAAGAGATATTCTTTATAAAAGTTAAGAGTCAACCACGCCTACCTAAAACGGCTCGTTCTAACACGCCCCCATATGTCTACGTCACAATGTGGGAAGATTTGCATAATGCCGCCCAAATGTTCATGCAAAGAAAGAAGGCGTAACTTTTATTCTCGCTGTAGTATTGTTGTTGCCGCCGCCACCCATGTTGTGAAGGCACTGTGTGTTTCGTTGTGAAACTACTTTGTTTGGCCTTCCAGAAGAGGACGATATCCGCTTCATCATGCCTGGAGCTGATCCGTGCTGGTCGCTGAGGAAATACATCAACTTCGTGCTGTGGATCGCCGGATCGGCTTTCACTGTGGATGAAGCGGAGTCCAGCCCGGGGTCGTCACATGTGGTTGCCGCAAGCCCGCTGGACGCTCCTTCGTCGAATCCGCCGGCCGCACTGTTCTCAAGCCCGCCGCTCACTCTAGCCCACCGTGTGTTTCGTTGTGAAAGTGAAACTACTTTGTTTGGCCTTCCAAAAGAGGACAAGACTAGAAATCAGTGGTGAAGTTGTATTTACAACACTGTTCCAGAACAGTTCAACCCAAATATTCAGATGTGTCCAGCGTATTTTATGGAGGACTGTTTCCTGATCCTGGTAGAGTAGACTACAATCCCGGCTGTTCCAACTCACAGATTGTAAGTACGTTTTTTATATTTAAAGAATTTGCCACTGACGATTCAAACGCGAGTTTTAAATGGTGTAGAGTAGCACTTGTTGTTTGTCATTTCTCCGATCACAAATGCAGACATGGTTTTATGTTTATGCGGCGCGATGCAACACAACGCGTAAAAAGACAGTATAAGTCATTATAATCCGTAATTATGTCCCCACTGGATGCAACAAATGCCTCGTTTATAATAGGATTTAATGTTTTTGTCTCGTCGCTCCGGCCGGACAGGGCATCACAGTATGGAAAGGGGCATAACATTTCCGTCACACGCTTGAGGTATTCAGCCAATCACAATGCACTGGATAGCTGGCCAATCAGAGCACAACTCGCTTTTCAGACCGATGAGCTTTGTAAAAATGATGCATTTCAGGAAGGCGGGGCATAGAGGAGAAACGATAATGTACAGTATGGCCGCACTGTTACATTATTGTGTTTTTTGAACCTTAAACCGCATAAACACATTTCATTACACCAAATACACAAAATAATTTTCTTATTAGCAACATCATATGACCCCTTTAAAGGCACAAGAAAACAGCGTGTTTTTGCTCACACCCAAGGAGGGCAAAATTTGATATGGTGTAATAAAAGATCTTAGATTGGGTATTTTGTGCTGAAACTTCACAGACACATTCTGGGGACACAAGAGACTTATATTACATATTGTAAAAAGGGGTATAATAGGTCCCCTTTAAAATGCAGTTTATTCCTGTGATGCAAAGCTGGATTTTCAGCAGCCATTACTCCAGTCTTCAGTATTATTTTGTAAAGTAATATTTTTGAATGATAATAAGTAATCAACTTAATTGTTTATATTTTAACATTAGAACCTGCTCTTTTTTTTTTTAGTAAAGTATTTCTGTGCCATGCCAGCAAGAAACTTTCTAACCCTGACAGTGCATTGTGACAGTGCTTTGTGTTATAACATATCCTGTAGGCCTATGATATGGTACTGTATCTACAGAAAGCTTTTTATACAGAAGTATGCTTTACATGAGATAGAACTGAACAAATATGAATTTTTGTCACCGTTTACCGAATATTTGTGTGCAGTTGGTGGTCTCTTGATAAATTCACAATATGCCCACCTCTTCAGTCAGTGTTACACCATCGGTGCTGTGTGTGTTGGTGTTCAGGTCCAAAATGTATGAAGTAGGATTGGCATCTCTGAGCTGCGGCAGTCTGTAGGGACATGGTCCAGACCATATGCTCATCATCATCATTATGTTTATGACTGGTTGGCTGGGCTTTGCGCTGTTTATTCCTGCCCAAAAGCCATAGCAGCAAAGGCACATGGAGGAAAAGAGTGAAATGGCTTTTATCCCCGAGTCCGTCCAGCAAAGCCCTATCCACTCTTCTCAAAGCAGCAGCGTCCCTCTGCCGAGCTTTTTCTTGCCTAATAAAAGCCGCATGGACATTATAAAAATTGCAGCTTGGCAGTAAAACTAATTTTGGAGCGCTGACTTGAGTGATGAGACTGACCCCTGCTGAGCACGTGCCACATCCCTGTTCCTGTATGCCAGCCTATGTAGCGTTGGGTTCCGACGTCCGGATCGTCTCTTCCTTCACCGTTCAATCAGACTGTCACCCTGTCCTCCTAAATGACGCATGGGTACGTCAAGCTTTGAAAGTCCCACAACAGCTTGGCATATCCATACTCTTTATTGACATAATTGGCAGTTCCATCACTCATCAATCAACGTATTAACATCTTTTTTTCTTGCCATAATGTCAATGAGTTGATCTCATTTAGTCTGTTCTCTGTACACCAGAGACCACGGAACCAGGAATTCAGTCTCGCTCTCAGAACCTTTTGTTTTGTTTGTTTGTTTTTTATTAGTGCTTCGACCATCACAGGCGTATTCAATTCTAATTTGTATTCTATCGAGGTGATTCTATTTCAGCGCAGCCAAAATGACTTAAGTAATCAACAGTTATTGAGTTCTTGTGGCTGGACAAGAGGAGGGTTGATTGAGAATGAGACTTCACTTAGGGAAAGGACTTCACTTGGAGCATTGGAGTGCTGTATTATTGAAGCTGATGCTGACTAGATTGCTCCTCAGAATAGATTATTTTTGCCTGGAATTGTCACTAAGCACTGAGACAAGACGCAGAATCAAGATGTTTTCTTTCTTGATGGGTGAGATGTTTTCATGTGCTTCCAGGCAATTTTGTAATATAGTCTCAATGTATTGTTGATAGAAATGAGCAAATCATGAGATCCACATTGCACTTACGTATTACTTATTATTATTTATTATTACTTTTATGATTTTTGTATAACATTTAAAACTAAATATTATATTGTATTATATTATATTATATTTGACCGTCAATTTTGTGATGTAAACATTTTTCATATAGAACAATTGAATATTAATACTTGATGTAAAGTACTTATATTGTGAAACTCACAGAAATTATTTGAATATGTGTGCATATGGGTATGTGTGTAAGTAAGCCCTGACCAGTGAGATTGTGTTGAGAGCGGATGACTGTCGCAGTAAATAGAAGCCGCGGCATTGTCTGCGGGGTTGATGGTGCATTGGACTAGAAGCGAGGCGAGGAGGCTTAGAAGAGGCCAGGAAGTCCTTCTAAATCAGAGGCACAGAGAGCTGACCGCACCATTATACAAGTGCCATTCACATTCTTCACCCGTCTCGTTACTCTCTCTTTAAAAACTGAGGAATTCTCTATCCTCTCTCTCTCTTTCTCTCTAATCTGTGATATGCACATATTAAAGATGGCTACATCATTCCTCACCAGCAGAATGTTAAATCTTTAAAACAAAAGAGGAATATTTGAAAAAGAAAATCCTTTAAAAGCCTTCTGGAGAACTTGTCAGGACATACAGTAGGTTGTGCCATTGTGAGTGCTTATTGTCCATTATGTGATGTACTATATACAGTAAGCTGGGCTTTTTCAAAGTATCTCAGCCCTAAAACGCTCCCATCCCCAACAGTGTTTCTACCCATGTTCCTTAGCATATGCTGCACAGTGCAGGTCTTTTCTCCGCTCCACTTCACCTCTGCATCCTCTCCACATACAGCTCCAGATGGCCTCATGCCCCCCAGGCTGGCAGCTGTAACCCCCACCTCGCTGCAGGTGGCCTGGGCTGCTCCAGCCCGTCACAACGCTCCAGGACCTTTGCGCTACCGGCTCCAGATGAGGACTTCAGCTTCCCCACAAGTTCACCAGTAAGCTTAGAGCAACAAAGCCATTAAGACCTTTTACAGTGTACACATGCACTTTTCCACACTACAAACACATGTAGGTCACCACTACTACTGCAAACATGCAATCATCAGTGAACAATAGTTCTTTTGTACTGAAAATACAAAAGGCAGTGAATCTGGAGAACAGGATACATCTGAGTATTTGATCTAAAGAGAAGAAAGTAGTGGTTAGACTGTTGTAGAGCAGATGTACAGGAATATCAAATAGTAGGCCTAGACCAGGGCTGTCCTTATAAAAAAATCTGCTTCTGTAAAAAGAAAAAAATGTTTTATCTAATATGTATGCATTACATGCTCCCTGACAACAAATTGCAATTTAATCAGAAATAGGGGAATTCTCATTCTGTTGTAATAAATAAATGACTAGGCGCATGTATTATATATCACCCTCATTTCCTGGGATTCTTTTGAAATGTATTTCATTGTTCATGTGATTTATTTATTATACTCCATGGTAAATTTGATCGTGGGGCTCTGTGGAAGTTGATGCTGTTTAAAAACCAGCAAAGATTTGTTCCAATCAGCAGGACTTGTAAGCCATTTAATGCAGCGTGATTATATCTATTTTTCATTTCGATTCAATACAAATATCCACTTGCATTTTCACCAGAATAATGTCATATTCTAACCATAGAAGTTGATGAGAGCATTCAATCCTAAGCTCACTTTTGATTTGATTTGCAAAGCACTTAACGGAAAAGATGTGTTAGGTCAGAATCTATAAGCTTGTGTACTACTAAGAGTTGACAAAATTAGCTTTAGCTAATATAAACATTTAAAATGCAGTCTTTATCAACAAATACAGGCTAAAATGTTTTTTGGACACACTTTAGTTTAGGGACCAATTCTCACTATTAACTAACTATTAACTTCAACTTTTGCCTCAATAAACTCCTAATCACCGCTTATTAATTGTTTGTAAGGTAAGTTGTTAAGTTTAGGTATTGGGTAGGATTAAGGGATGTGGAATATGGTCATGCAGAATGTTATTTTTAAGTACTAATAAACAGCCAATATGCTAGTAATGTACATGCTAATAAGCAACTAGTTAATAGTGAAAATTGGTACATAAACTAAAGTGTTAACGTTTTATTTTTATAAATTTTTTAGAGGGCCCTTTAAATTAAAATGTTACAACATTTGTATTTGAAATCAATACTGTTCTTTTGAATTATTGTGTTTCTATTCATCAAAGAATCCTGTAACAGTGTATCACGCTTCCGAAAGAAATGTTAAAGCAGCAAAACTGTTTTCAACACTGATAATAAGAAATGTTTCTTGAGCACAAATCAGCATATTGGAATTATTTAGAATTGATTTAGTTATTTTAAATTATAATAATATTTCACACTATTACTGTTTTTACTGTATTTTTGATCAAATTAATGCAGCCTTGGCATAAGATACTTCTTTTTTTTTTTTTTTAAACATTTTGGGCCGTAGTGTTAATTGCACAATTGCAACTTTATTTCTCATTATTAGGACTTGGTTTGGTCATGATTAGGACTTTGGTTTTTTGCTTCATAATAAATTGTATTGGCTGTTATTAAAAATGTAAACACATCTAATGTACTATGTAATGTGTACTGTAATGTGTTCTGTGTAATTCACATGTACATTTATTTCTATCTTTAGGTTAATGGACGATGAGACGACTGTATTTAGTCACATGGTTAAGGACCTTGAACCCTTTACCGAGTATCACTTCAGACTGCTGGTGTCCAACAACCATGGAGAAACCAGCAGCCCATGGGTCTCTTTTTTTACTGCACAAGACAGTGAGTTCCAAAGCTGACACACACAATGCCCACAAACACAACAGAAAATCATTAAGTACACAAAGAGTGTGTTGTGTTTAACCACAAGTCAGGCAGTTCCTCTGTGAGGCTTGTCCCACAGAGAAAAGCAGGTGTTGAGGGAGAGAGAGAGAGAGAGAGAGCCAGTGGACAGAGATTGCTAGTTAAAGGTATGCCTCTTCCACATGACCTTGCCGGTGTCATTTTGGACTGATTACTGTAATAGAATCATATTAAGGATCATAACAGACACTCTCTGCTAAGTTATAAATGAATTATACTTCAGCCTATTAGCACATACATTATAATTACTGACCCAGTATTTGCATACACTCAGATTGCACTGTATTATGGACCATCACCTCTTCATTATCATGCTTAGAGACATCCCCCTCCCCACAATGCCCTGCAGCACTTCACAACTTCTGCTTTTGGGAAGAGTTTTCCCTCTGTCTGAGAGCAGAACTACGTGAGCTGAGTAACATTCACAGCCTCATTGAGACTTTTTGTTTAGTTTCTTGTCTTGCTGCTTTGGTCTACTTGTTTTGCACCATGTGTCGGTATATTTTATCTTGCAACTTGTAATTAGTATTCTTTATGGATGTTTAGCATATCCGTTCATAGGTTGTATTCTTCACTTAAGAGGATGTCATAAATTGTCATGCCTTTAAGAATCTCTGCATTAGCTGCATTGTTGAACCATTGATAATATGTAGTTTAAATAGGATTGAATGAAAACAGCTTTTGCTTAGTTATGTTCGTTTTAGCAACTCTGATGTTTTTAATTATATATTTTTATGCTTAGATTAAACACATGGTTTTGAAATAAAAAGGTTTTTGATAAAGATATTATGTGATATAGGACAATATCACTTTATAAAGTGCTCGCTTAACTCATTAAACCTTGTTAAAAATTTCATTGTGATAGTAATATCAGTGAGAAAATTACTTTTTTACTATTTCTTGCTATTTGTTTTCAATTACAACTGAAAATTTGATATTTTATTCAATTTTCATATTGAATATTTTAATAATAAAAATCTGTAAATAATTCTGTCGCCAATGCTCTAAAGTATGCAAATATTTATTAATACTTTTATTTAAATATTTATTTATTAGTATTTATTAATATTTGAATCACATTTGAATACATATTTTTATTAAATATATTTTCAATGTGCAAAAAAAAAATATCTATGTGCGAATACTTTTGGGGGGCCACTGTTTGTTGATACTGGAGAAACTGGAATGTTTGAACATATCAGTTTAATTCATAAGTAGAGATGCACCGATTCACCGGCCAGTGATCGGAATTGGCCGATTTTTCGCATGACCAGCCCGGATCAGTGACCGGCCGGTCAGTCTCATGTCTTGCCGATTCCGAGACGTCACAGCCACGCGCACACTCACATTCGTGTGTAAACATGTCATTAAACAACATTATACGGCCATGATGTTTCCCCGAATATCAGTATCAACACAATTGCAATGTAACACTGATTTTATACAATAGTATTTCAATAAACAAGAAGTTAAAATTAAGTGACTTAGATTTTAGACAAAATATTGACTGTTTTTGCTCAATTTCTCTGACGAAAATAGTTTCAATCAAAGCCACAGCAGAACTGTTTTGTGTCTCCGAGCAACACACAGCAGTGTTTCGTTACTGAATGAACCCACGGTTTTGAACGAATCGAGTGAGTCAATGATTCAGTGGCCCATTCATAAGGACAGTCACTTGCCTCCTTTCTGAATGAATCAGCCGTTTGAATTAATCGGTTGAATGAATGAATAAATAACTCACTCATTAAAACAGACATTTGCCGCCACCTACTGGTGGTTTAGTCATATTTAAAAGTATCATTGCATTTTTTTCAACATTTATTTGTTTAAAAAAACATGTGAAAAATGAATCTTATAAAATAATTTATGCATTTGAAATTTTGCAGTGTAAATGCATTTATGGCACATCAGCTTCATCAAACTGTCAGTGTAAATGCATCTAATGCCACTTCAGATGCAGCTTCTGTTTCCTCAGCAGTGGAAAGAGTTTGTTAACACTAATTTCATTTGAATGGTAACAACTCTACAGTTTCTTATTATTCTAACTGAATTAATTTAAACAAATTAAGAATTTGATGTGAAAGATGACAAATTTAATAAGGTTAAGGGGAAAAAAATTCAATTTATAAACATAGTGGGAAATGACAACTGTTTTGTTACATACAGGAACTCATTTTAAGTTAACTATTTCTTCCTCTTTCCAGTCACAGAGCACTTTATTTTGAGAGTTGTTTAAGTGAGAGAAAATCTGTAACTTAGTCCAGATTGGGGTAATTGTAATGTTTAATATTTTCTTTTATGTAAATAATTTTTGCATTGAAATTTGCTTAGATTTTTGTTTGTATATGCTGTCAATTATAGTTCTTAGAAAGAATATCGGAATCGGCAAAAATCGGTATCGGCAGGTCACACTTCCAAAAATGCGGAAATCGGAATCAGCCAAGAAAATTGCAATCGGTGAATCTCTATTCATAAGTGCTTTTTTAAATGTGACTGGATGAGTATTTGGTAATGTATTTTGTTGAGCATTGCAAAAAGGAAACTGGTACTTTCATGTATGTACTTTGCGATATGCCAAAACTGCGATGACCCAACATGCACCATATTAGCAGCTCTTCTAAAAGTCACTTTAATCCCAAACAAGCGTGTATCTGGCAGCAGAAATGAGCCCTTCACTCCAGCTCTATTTACACATCTCTTTCTTTGCGGCAGGGGTGATGACTTTGAGAACAGGTGGGCATTACCAAGAAGGAGAGAAATGATTGTTATTGTTAAAGAGAAAAGCCCTTTATTTCTTTTCCGAAATGGGCTGTGAAGAGCCTCGGTGCGGCATATTCGGCTCTCTGCGGCAGGGTTATGGGGAAAGCATGAGTTTTAGTGGCTCCTGACACTGCTAATAAACACTCTCACACATATCATGAGCCACCCATCAACGTGAAATAGTACCCGGCAAAGCCACACTAAATTAACAGTAGGAAAGAATTGAGGAGATTCTTCAAAATAATGTGGCCAGCTGCATGATAAAGGAAGAGGAAAGGATGGGCAAGGTGAAACAGGAGGAGAGAAACGTGTCATTTTTTTTTTAGCTCTTTTTCTTCTTTGATAGGGCCCCAGTCTGTCCGCACATCTTCATCTCTAATTTAGAAATCCCCTCTAGAGAGAGTTCTCCACCTCTGTGTGAAATGTTCACAGCAGCACACACTATAGGCTGTGTGCATGAGCACACATGCTCATAGCTATGTAAGCAATCACAAATAGTGTCTCATAAATACATGTGCATATACATGGTTATTGTTCTATTTCTTTAAATTCAGACATGATGAGACATATTTTGTGACAGCAATTTTAAACTAGAGGTATTTGGAAAGTTTGACATTTCAGTTTTGGGGAGTGCATGAGACTGATGGAGCTATGGCGGAAACGCTTGTCTGATTTGTCTGTTTGGCTCCTTTTGTGCTGCAGTATGTCAGAATACTACTAGAAATCTCCTTAGTGAAGATGTATGAGCATTTTAAGTATTCAAAAGGCCCTCATTCCTCTCCTTTATATCATTCCATTAATTATTTATAACCATCTTTTTAATGTAATTCCATCCATGAATTTTTACCCGTTAGACTTGACAGCCGGTTCTGTGAACATAAACTTTGCCAAGTAGAAGAGCTCTTTCCTCTGTCTTCTCTGCCTATGCTAAAGCACATGAGTCTGTGTGTGGAGTGACACATAAATAAAATAATTTAGAGGGGCATTTTTGTGCCCCGCCCCCTTTTTTTCCTAGTGAATCTGTTGTATAAATGACCTGTACAGTTTAACTTTCAAGCTAACAGTGAGACACTGTTGAGTTCATTTTGTAAATGTTACTGTTTACGTGTGCACAGACACCATGCAAAAAAAAAAAATATTCTCATTTCTTGAATTGAGTTCATTTAAATAGGATCAGCCCCAACCTTTATTATTTTATCTTGTGATTAAAGGAATAGTTGACCCAAAATTAGCATTTGCTTGAAATTTACTCACCCTCAGGCCATCTTATAGATGTGTTTGTCTCTTCATCGGAACGGAGTTGGAGAAATGTAGCATTGCATCACTTGCTCGCCAGTGGATTCTCTGTAGTGAATGGGTCCCGCACGAATGAGAGTTGATAAAAAACATCACAATAATCCCAAAGTAATCCACACAATCTAGTCCATCAGGTAATGTCTTGTGAAGTGAAAAGCTGCATGTTGTAAGGAACAAATTCATCAAGATGTTTTTAACTTCATAGTCGCTTTTGGCCATAATATTGTTTTCTGCAGTGAAAAAAAGTCTCTTGTCTGAATCAGAAAAGAAATATGCACAGATTTACAAACTAAAAGAGTCCAACACGGTTCTAAACATATACTGTATATCTAAACATATATGTTGTACGTTTTGGTGGGAGAGGACAACAGGGGACAGACTTTTTCATTGGAGGAAGTGTTTTTATGGATTATGGACTATATTTTGGCCAGAAGCAATGGTTTAAAGTTAAAATTCCTTCATGTATTTGTTTATTAAAAACACACAGCTCTGCGCTCCACAAGACATTAATTAATAGACTAGAGTTGTTTGAAATATTACAGTGCTTTTGTCACCTCTTTGGACATTCTGACAACACCCATTCACTGAAGATCCATTGGTAAACAAGTGATGTAATGGTAAATGTCTCCAAATTTGTTTCCGATAAGGAAACAAACTTATCTACATCTTTGATGGCCTGAGGGTGAGTATTTTTAAGCAAATTTGGTTGAACTATTCCTTTATTTATCACCCCATTTGTAGTTATAAAAATGTTGTGGGTAGAAAAACCACTGCTGTGCAGTTCACCTTGAAATAAGTTACTGTACGATAGTGTAGACTTCATCAAATATTAGTTCAAAACCAAAAGAAATCTTTCATAGTTTTTTTTTTCCCCTTTTCCTTTCAATCTTCTTTACACTAAACGGCTTCTTGAAAGTAGCATACCGACATCCGTCCTAGTTGACATCAGCCACGCTAACCTTCAAAGCTATCATATTGTCACAAGGACCTCTACAATGCTAAAAATAATCCTCTCTTTCCTTCACGTTCCCAGGTCCCTCCCTCCTAGCCTTGTCACTTGATTGTGTTATTATTATGCTAACCAAATCCTTATAAATGTGATTTAAGGCTTGGCGGCCCGCGCTCTTGTTTTTCCTTCTGCTGTAGCGATTTATAGTGGCCCAGGAAAGGCCTCTCTAAGTATTCCAAATGTCCTGAGATTACAGCTGTTGCCGATGCCTGATTGAGGCCGACTGCTGTTATTGCACTGTGTTCTTGCTTGTACCCTGAGAGCAGTAAAGCATCAATAAAATCAAAAGCACCTGCATCTTAAATGAAGTTTCAATTGAAAAACTTAACAGCCCTTCAAATTGCAGAATTTAACGCAGACCAGTAAAGCTTAAATAACACTTTGCCTCTGCAGACCAAAAGACCGGGTGGCTGAGCCGAGGATGGGAGGCTGGCCGGGGATGAAGTAAGGAGGGGTGGTTCGTGTTCAAGGTGACTTGATTGTCTCATGTGGTAAAATTATTTACAATTAAGGAATTTCTCCTGAGAGCCACATTGGATTTGCCGGCGAGCACCTATGCAGGCGTTTTGCAGTGGCGGCATCCGTGAGCTTTTTCAGTATTCATGGACGCTCCTGAACCTTTGTGGTAATTGAATCAGTTAGAGTGCTGAGTGGAGCAAGCATAAAAACCTGTTAACCCAAAGGTCAAATCTGTGCATTGTTTATTTATCAGGAGGGAGAGGGAGCGAAATCGGCAGGGCCCACTCGCAGACACAGTAAAAAATTCCCCCCAAAAATATCAGCTACTAGATGAATGGAGAAAACTGGGCTGGAATCATAAACAGCGGCCGACTGTGTGAAGTGAAAATGGATGAAGCTTGAGTTAGGGTTAGGGATGACTAATGAGAATTAAACCTCTTTATTTTTGACGTCATTCCATAATCAGAGTTATTATGATAAAGCTGATCTATTTAAAAAAGGTCAGTTTATTTAGATAATGTAGTGCATTTACTTGTACTACATATTGAACACACTTGGGTTTATAACCAAGCTCCGGCTCATAGGGCTGTTAATTTGCACCTACTGAATGTGTTGTTTTAGTGTGCAAATTATGCAGATCAGTTAATGGAACAGAATCTGTTTGGAACACAATTTTCATGGTGCAAGCAGGTCAGTTCTGAATGTTTTGCTATGGAAGATGCAGCAGACTTCACAATCTGGCATACTTTATCACTCCTTCATCACTCCACTTCATTCCAGACACCTGAATCTGCTCTTAAAAATGCTGAAAGCTTGAACATCTGGATGTACAGTATATTATACTGTTCTCCACCATTTCATTCATTTGATAAATATCTGCTTGGCATGATGAATAGAAAATATTCACTACCATTCAAAATTTGGGATCAATTTTAGAATTTTGTAAAAAAAAATTAAAGAAGATTCTTACACTTACCAGGACTGCATTTATTTGTTAAAAAATACAGTAAAACAGTAATATTGTGAAATATTAGAATTTACATTTTGTTCAATTTGAATCTTTTTTATGTATATTTCTGAATAACTGAATATTCAGTAGTCATTTACTCTAGTCTTCACATGATACTTCAGAAATCATTCTAATATTTTGATTTGGTGCTCAAAAACATTATTATTATTATTATTATTATTAATGTTTAGAACAGTTGTGCTGCTTAATATTGTGGAAACATGATGTATTTTTTCCAGCATCTTTCTGACCCCAAACTTTTAAATTAAAGTGTACACAAATTAGTCTAATTTACATTGCAGAGCTGTTTTAGTGTGTTTAGCATCTGGCTAAGTGGATTGTGGGTGCTTAGTGAATAAGATGCAGGGTTTTATGCATAAATAACAATCAAAAGTGGTGCAACTGTGTAGTGAATTTGCTGCATCTGTTTGCTTCTTCACTGTCATGTCCCTTTTGTTCATTTTTTTTTAAAGTCATTATCTTGATGCTTGTTGTGGTGGCCGCTGAGCTTTGGGGAGAGAAAGCATACATGTAGCCAGTTATGTCTGCTCTATACATAGTGAGTCAGTTGGGACGGGATGGTGATGGGAGGTGGAAAGTGGGCCATCTGTGGGGAGACATCAGCAGCCCAGCACGGCAGAGAGAGAGCCAGTCACCTTGATCCACACGCCCTTGCCGGTACGCCATTACCGTGCTACCGTGGGATGTAAATGGAGGAGGAAAACATTACCTTCAAATGAGCTTTCATAGGGCCCAAATATCAATCAGACAGCCCAGGCTACAGAGCAGACAGGAGACACTTAAAACGCAACAAAACAACTTCACTTCAATTACCACATCTCATATATTCCTCTAACTGCTTTCATTTTACCAAATGTTCAAGCTCTTTTACTTATCATTCTTCAGTTTTTTTCTGGAGTTTCCTAACAGTTCTGTCAGAAAAATGGTATGGGAAATTACTGTAATGTAAATCTGCATCCATATATCGGGCCTCACAGAATGAGCACAAAAAGTGCAATAAACCAATGTGACATTTTGGATCAGCATTATTCTGAAACCCAATAGCAGTGCTCCACATAGCAAATAAAGACAAATCATCAAAACAGTATTTTCTCAATTTGCATTTCCTGGAGGAAATGCCAGTGCTTGCAAAGCAGCAAAAGAAGGTGTTCAGGTAATCTTAGGTTTTAGGCCTCGGCTGTGTTTAAACGAAATGCTGCATTTGCCATTGTCATGACGCTAAGTATGCATCAGCACAAAAGATGATGTTTTGATTTTGATTTTGATTTTTTGTATACAATGAAAGTCAGTGGGATCCAATGTTGTTTAGACTCAAACATTCTTGAAAATATATTCTGTGTTCCTTAGTTTGTTACAAAGATTTAGAACATGTAGGTGAGTAAATGATGACAACATTTCTATTTTCCCATCAGGGTTGGGAGTTTAAAAAAACTTTTCAAGCACTGTGTAAAGCATGTGGTGTGAAGGTTCCTGTATACATCACTTAATATTCTGTTTAATTGAAATTAAGTTCAAAACTTCTTACTGTTTTATACCAGTCATATCCAAGGAGAAACTGGCACAAGCCATCAGATGTGAGAGAGGGAAGCAGTGCATGGGATGCTGGCATGTGTTTTGGTATATGCATATGTGGATGTGTAATTATGAAAATGACCCGAGCTGTCCGGTCCTGAAGATCCATGTAGGATTTCTTGATGTTAGTGTTGCTATTGTTGTAACCACTCTGAGAAAATGACTGGGCTGGAAACTTAAGTGATTTCCTCCAATTCACTACAGACCCTTCAGAGATTCACCTCGCACATCGCTGATATCCCTTAGCCACATTACCCCAACGAATAAATCCATAAATATAATTTCATATTTGTTTGCGATATGCAGCGGCTGACTCCGTCCTCTTTGGCAAATGAGCTTATTTGCACACTGCCTGCTCTACATTTTAATCCAGAGAATCAGGCTGCTCCAATCAGACGGTGTCCTTGTGCTGTCAGTCTCAATGCTGTGCTGACAGAGAGGAGCTGCGTCTCTCTAGATCATGGAGATTGACCAGGCTCATCAGTCCTTGGGTTCAAATCATTTAAAGCCAAAATCAATTGCAATTTTAAGATATAGATATACGCATTGATGGAAAAATGAATGGATAGATGGGTAAATGGAGATATATATGATATATCTTAAAAGTTTATTGGTAAATGTAATGCATTCAAAATTATTATATTGTATTATATTATATATTAATTGCATTCAATAATAATAATATTATTAACAATATTTTTACATTTTAAAATAGTTGTTATATTTATGGATTTTATAGATGTATTGATTATTGTTGAAAATAATAATAATTTATACAATAATAAATCCCTAAGCATAATTTAGGTGATTCATATTCCATCATAATTATTAATAATTATTATTTTATACCATTTAATGTTTTTTTAGCAGTTTTAGCCATAAATAAAGATTCTATTATTTTACAATATAATAAGAACATTTATTTTAAGACTTTTTATCTTATTTACTAAACTACATCCTTCGAGTGTGTGTGTGTTTGTTTTATGCACATCTAGTAGCAACAACTGCAAAAATAATGATTGTTTCACAACTAATTTAATCATTTTAATTATTGTACATTAATTGTTAATTATTTAATATGAATTATCTTTCTTCAGGGCCTGGATCTGTTGACCCTCCTGTACTCTCTGACATCCAACCCAGAAGTGCTTCTGTCTCCTGGTCTCCTCCGTCCCAGCCCAACGGCATCATCACCCATTATAACATCTACCAAAACCACCAGTTAAGTGTCTTTGTGCCAGGAAACAGCACCAGCCACACTCTTTCTCAACTTGCACCCTATCAGCAGTATACCATTGAGGTGGAGGCCTGCACAGCAGCCGGCTGCACTCTTTCCTCTCAGTCCCACACCATACGCACCCCTCCAGCCCCCCCAGAGGACGTCCCAGCCCCGCAGCTTTACTCGGACACCCCCACATCAGTGCTCTTGTCCTGGGCCCCACCACGTCATGCCAACGGTGAACTGGACGGCTACACCATTGAGAGGAGAGTCACTGCCACACAACAGATTTCTACTGTGGCCACACTGCAGCCCAACCAGACATTCACTTACCTAGACAGCTCTGCTACACTCAGCCCCTGGACCAATTATGAGTACCGCATTGTGGCTCACACAAGGCTGGGTGGATCCAATAGCAGTGAGTGGGAGAAAGTGACCACTAGACCATCAAGACCTGCAGGACTGCAGTCGCCTCAAGTGCTGGTTTTGGGACCAGAGTCAGTACAGGTACATGGAAAGTCGGTTTGCGTGTTACTTAACCCTTAAATGCATGAATGTTTCGCCAATCATTATTACATATTCCTATATATCCAACACGGATGGATCTCTAACTGCTGCAATAGCATAAAACTCTCATGATATTTTAATAACAATTACAAAAGAAGAAAAATGAAACATCTCGGCACTTTTTGAAACTTAGAAGGGTTCAATTTGATCAGATGATTTTAGCATCACTGTCATCGTCAGATCGCACTTCCCCAGTACATTCAGCATCTGGTTCATATTCGCGATCTCAACCATATTCTCAATACTTTTGTTTTCAATTACTTCAAAATCAATACTTTGATCACTGGCAGCTTATTCATCACATCCACCATCAAATGACAGTGACACTTATATTTCATTGCCTACAGTAATTGCTCTGTAGTAGAGCCATCAAAGCCAATTCTTGATGATATTCTTCTGTTTTATGTCTGCAGTAATTATGAGTGAAACATAAACATCACGTCATCATTGTCTATCAAACAGTGTGCCACCTTGAGGAATAAAGGTGAATTGCACTTATTGAGTCATCAGATATTTAATTATTGTTGCACCAGAAAATTATACTTTTACATACACTATTACCTACCTCGGGTCGACCCTACACACTTTTTACAAAAAAATAATCAGAAAACAGACATTCTTTTATAATTTATTATTTTTCTTGTTATATTGTTTATAATCAATAGATTGAGGAATACTAAGAAGCTTGATTCAACTTTAAAAAATGAAGGAGGGAGAGGTTAGTGAATGACATCCTGGGTTGCTAAAGACCCAAGGTATGCATTTAAGGGTTAAAAGAGTAAAATGTTTGCAAAAAATAAAAATGTGTGACATTTTAAAATAACTCTTTTGAAATGGTTATTTTTAATTTGTCAATCAAAAATATTCACAATGATCACAAACTTAGTTAAGTTATAGTAGTTTTAATCAGTCACAGAATTGTTCAGAGCCACTGAACAACTGACTCTGTAGCAATTTTTTAATTATGCCCAATTCGAAGTGAATCAGGAGCATTAGTGTCATATACAGTACTTTAGGCTAGTGAAACAATTTACAAAAAAAAACATATTTTACAAAATAATATTGATTATTGTTTATCATTGAGGTCCAATAACAAGGTTAAAATGACACATTCAATTAATCAAAAGTGACAGTAAAGACATTTATAATGTTCAAAATAAATTATTTCAAATAAATGCTGATATTTGAACTTTCTTTTTATCAAATAATCTTAAAAGGAAAAATGTATCTCAGTTTTTACTGTTTTCAACATTGATAATAATAAGATATGTTTCTTGAGCATCAAATCAGCATATTGGAATGATTTCTGAAGTATTATGTGATGCTGAAGACGAGTAATGGCTGCTGAAAATTCAGCTTTGCAATTGCAGGAATTAGTCATATTTTAAAATATATTAATACAATAATAGAAAACAGTAGACAAATTGTAATAATATTTCACAAAATTACTGTTTTTACTGTATTTTTGATAAAAGCAGATTTGGACAGTAGTCCAACTGTTGAACAGTAGTGTATATGTACTGTAGGTAATTAAAAATAGATTGTCATTTTTAACCTTTTGATTTAACTTTGATTTCTGTGCTGCTTAAAGTAAAGAAGGCTTTTCAGGTTTAAATTAACGTGTTTGGGTGTCGCTCAATCCTGTCCCACCCTCCTGTCAGCAGGCTGTAGTGCCTTATGCCGCCTTTTCACCAGTGAGGTGCAAATGAGGTCTTTGTTGTGATTGTTAGTAAGAAGCTACTGTATTTCTTCCCATTAATGCCACACCCAGGGCATCCATCATTTTTCCAGTGACACCCTCATGCTATGAAAACATTGATACGCATGGTTTCCAGGTCCTTTCAGAGCTGATCATTAAGGAACAGCCAATTAAGACTGTCAGAGTATTGTGGGAGCCCCTCATGAATGTGCCCTTGGTCATCTAGCTAACACTTTAAAGATTGTAGTTCTTTATTTTGTGTCTGTAAGATACCCAAAGCATGCCAGACCTTATTAACACTTTGACAAAGTAGATTTGAGTGTTTCAAGGCAAACTGCATAGACATCCCTGTAATTCAACAGACACTATACTCAAGAGGGGTTGGTAGCTTGCAGTCTTTTGGCTGGTTTACAGGTTGGATTTAAGGGGCGTTAATGTAACCAAACAAGCTTTGCAGCTTAGATCCTGCAGTGTGTAAATACACCTGTGCACCCCCTGTCTTTCTCTCTTTGTTATTTGTTGTGTGCTAGTGCCAAGAAACATGGACAGAAATGCTTACCACTTCAAACAAAGGCGGCATTTGCATAAACTTGCTTGAATTATTCATTTTCCCCTAACCCCCGGTTTAGTGTATTGTAATACCATTATTATTTCATTAATTTGTTAACTGCTGCATTTGTATGTAACTGGATGAGAACGCTTCTACAGGTAAAAGCCAAAACAACAACTGTTCACATTATCATACGCTATATTAAATTCCTGTTGAGATGCTAGCAGTCTCTGTGATCCTCACGGCAAACTCTTTGTTAGCAAGCGTTGATGATTTTATTTCAGTGAGATGGACCACCATCATGGAGCTGATTTGCATGGGAGACTCAATGGGCTGTGGAGTTCAACAAAGTTAGCATATGTTGCTAAGCTAACATAACAATACATAAAACAAATTGGATAAAATGAATTATTTTTAATAACACAAAATTACTTTTATCAGACATGCACAATATGTTTAATGTGTCCCTCGCTTGATCCAGAGGCAGTATGTAGCAGCAACGAGCAGCGTTTCCTATGCAATTCCATTAGGATTTCATTATGATCTCCAGGGGCTGAGGCCTCTTTCAAATGTAATGAAAGGAGTATTCTGTCTTGGGTCAAAGTCAGGGTGCCTTCGCTTCATCACATGACGTCGGTTCCACAAACTCATCGATCTAAAAGCCTGAGATGATGTGTTGTGATATTGCGCTGGACTCTGGCCCTTCTCTGTCGCCTTAGACACACTTGTGAAACCATTTTAGTTTATAACTACATGACCACAAGAACACTGTTAGACTCTGATATCAAATTCTTCAGTGATATGAACAGGTTCAAATGTGTCCTGTGTTTTACTGCAGGTTACATGGTCCGCTCCACTCATACCCAGTGGAGAAGTTGAGCGGTATGAGATCCGCATGCCTGATCCACGCATCTCACACACCAATACGTCCATGCTCAACCGTACTGTTACCAACCTGCTGCCCTACACCAACTACAGCATCACCGTCCTTGCCTGCTCAGGAGGTGGAGGCCATGTCGGAGGCTGCACTGAGAGCTCCGCAACGCTGGTTACTACATTACCCACAATCCCAGAAGGTCTGCCATCCCTGTCAGTAGTAGCCATCAGTGAATCTTTCCTGGCTGTTTCATGGCAACTCCCATCAAGGCCGAATGGGCCCAACATAAGGTAACCAATGAATGTTCAATCGATGTACTACATCTTAGTTCCTTGACACATTTAAGTAGTGTTACTTATTGAATTCATTACTTATTTATTTATGTGTAATAATTAGTAGTAGTAGTAGTACTATATTTGAATATATAAAGATATGGTTGTAAAAATATGTTAAAATTGATGTTTACATTCCTCAAAGTAAAATCAGTCAATCAATCAATCTAGCTAGCTATTTATTTATTTATATTTGATGTATATAGATATGTTTGTAAAATGGATGATAAAATGGATGTTTACATTCTTCAAAGTAAAATCAATTGTAACCAAAATTGTCATTCATATGGTAAAGGAATTTGTAAAATCTCTTGGGAATAATCCATAACTCTGCCATTTTGTATGAGAACAGCAAGGTTGTGGTCTCCCTAGGTTGTGAAGAGTGAGGCACAACGTAAAAGTTCTTGTTCTTTCTCACTGTATATTTTAGTCTGTTTTTGAGCTGATTAGGTGGTAAATAAAGGTCTGTTCACGGCAGATGATTAAAATTCATGACTACTTTTCCCGCTGCTGCTCTGTTTGTTTAACTAGGCTTATAAAGCACACATTAAGCTGAGCTCTCCTGATTACAGCTAAAATTAGCATTACTGTTGAGGGAGAAAGAAAGAGAGAGAGAAAAGACAAAAGCACAAACCCAACGAAACAGCGGTGCGGGTGAAATGGCAGGAGGATTGTGGGAGTGGAGCAGGCTCTGATTATCTGGCTGTTTCCGCTGCCCTCAGATTTGAGCTGTTGAGACGGAAAACCCAGCAGCCCCTGGCCTCCCGTCCCCCCGAAGATTTGAATCTGTGGTACAATGTTTACGCAGGAACCAAATTGTTTCATGAAGATAAAGGCCTTAGCAGGTGAGATTACTGAAATTAGCTTTAATGCAAACTTTGCTTGTGTGTACAAAACTGTTTTTGTGCACCGATGCCATCTTTTTAATGCTGTTCAAAGATACTTTGAGCAAATATTCCATAGAATTAAACTGTTTTCGGCTAATCTTTCTCTGGCACTCCTTGTGTGTACGCTGAAAAACTCCATCATAAAACCCCCAAATGTTTCCCGTGTATCACAGGTTCTGTCATTTAGATTAATGCCTGACTTCATTTAAATGTTTTCAGTCCTTGCAAAAGATTAACTTTGAGCTTGACTTTAAGCAGCATATTTAAATACTTGACATTTAATGCAGTATTATCACAGCTTTTGTTAGTATTATACAGCCTCATTCTTATAAACACACTTTTCAGTGTATATATTTAGAATAGTTATCATAATCAAATGTATTTAAGAATTTTGCGTATTTCTTGATTATATGTTTAGACTTTTTTTTTATTTATATGAATAAATTAAAAGTATTTTTTTACATTTTCTGTGCATACAGTATAAATTGTTTAATATGTACATGTAATTATATAAATAATTACATATTTATATATTATAAGATTCTATGATTGTGGCTCCAGAAAATGTCCTTGTGCAAAATGTTTTTAAATGTGTTACAGGTACACATGGTACGAATACAAACTTCTGGTTCACAATGATGTTGGCTACGCTTCAGGGGAGGTTGCCACAGGGGTCACACTGGCTGGGCAACCCCTCACCCCCACCAGCATATCTGTCCAAGTTCTCAATCATACAGCGATCCTGGTCAACTGGTCCACCCCCAGTAAGAGTCAAGAATCTCTATATTAAACTCATCCTGGCCCGTGACCGAAAATACATTTCAGGAAAGAATCTGTGTTTAGAGAACTTGTTTTTGAGATTGACCTTTAGTGTGTCCTGTCTCTCTTTATATTTTATGTTCCCAGCTCTGCAAGATTTGCAGGGAAGTGTGGAGGACTACATCCTTATGGTTCTGTCCACCCAGCACAGGCAGACTCTTGCACTTGACCCCGCTGCGACCTCTGTGGTCATCTCTGACCTGCAGCCCAGCACAGAGTACAAGCTCTCCTTGACTGTATCCAACGGTGCTCACAACATTACCAGTCCTGAGGTCAGCTGCACTACTACAGATGGAGGTGAGTGCATGCCACATAGATGTTTAATACTCACATCTATTTTGACTGCCAAGCCACAGGGCTCCAGATTTGTTGTTTAACCTACCTGTTTTGACTGAATTTTTTGCATAAAACAAAGTATTAAATTTATTTATTGTTAAGTGCATGTACTAGTTGTACCGTTTGTAATATTCATGATTGTCCCTTAAGTACGTTTAGGCAGTCAAAGTCCGTATTGGAGTGATTCAGTTGAAAAAGAAATTTCTTGTTATGTGAATGGAATCAAAATCTCCAAACCTGTTTGCCAAGCTTACATTTTTGGAGTCAGTAAAAGTTTTTAATATAATTTTTAAATAAGTCTCTTATACTCACCAAGGCTACTTTTTTTTATACAAACTATAATATTATAAAATATTATTGCAGTTTAAAAGAACTGTTTGCGATTTTAAAATATTTTAAAATATAATTTATTCCTGTGATGACAAGTTGAATTTATAGCAGTCATTACTCCAGTTTTCAGTGTCACATGATCCTTTAGAAACCATTTTGATGTGCTGATTTGATGCTTAGTAATAGTTTCTCAGTTTTGAAAATGGTTTTGCTGCTTAATATTTTTGTGGAAACCATGATACAGTTTTACAAATATAATGTAAAAGTTTGCAAAGCGTCTTAGATGATATTTCGAATCTTAGTGGTTTAACTGAAATATGGAGTTTACTAGACCACAACCATTTCTGTATGTTTAACTGGATGAAATTTGGATTGAAGATATTGGCTAATTATGGTTTTCCTGTCAACACTTAAAATATTCCTGTGATTTCTGTCAGCCTGCCTCTCTCATATCACTCCAGCAGCCCCTGCTCACAGAGATAAAAAACGGATGAGGAGAAGAACTGATTGATTTAATATTTTCCCTCTGTACTCTAAAGGCAAACCTCACAAGCTGCAGAAAAATTTGCCTTTACCAAAATTGTGATATCTTGACCTCTGAGCTATGATCAATAGTCATTAAGCTGTCCTCTTACACAGTTAATGTACTGATGCACTGATATCACAGGAAACAGATGAAAGCTCAGCAAACCTCTTATGTACGCATATACACACACACACACTGCAGTGTGAGTTAAATTGTGCCTTACGCACTAAAAACTAAACAACTGGTTTTCCATAACATACCTCAGCTTCTTTCTCGTGTCACCTATCAGTATAAATAAAAACATTAGAATATAATTTGCTCCTAAATAAAGGTTACAGTTCATTTACCAAAGAGCTAGTAGTGGAAGCTTCATTATTTTACAGCCTAAAAGGCAGCTTATTAAAAGCAGTTGAACTTAAAAGATCATACTATGCTGCATGATAGTGTATATGTTAAGAGCCCGCTAATTAAAAACTGGAATGGAGACGAGGTTGTCCATGCGAAGTCTTGCATTAATAATACAGCAGCAGAAATGACATGGAAAAAGACGCTTCAGGAGAGCACTGATATCGGTCACATACAAGTATGTCTCATCATTGCTCTTTTGGTCAATGATGGGGAGTAACAAGCGGGCACTAAGCATTTTATAATAACTTGAGTAGTTCAGCTGCATTCTAAGCAGTCTAGCCTTTTCAAGTACTAAGCTACTTTTTCCAACTTTTTCAAAGTAGCTGAGTCAATATCCAAATGTGCTCTCAGCTCTCCTATGTGTCTTCTATCTCAGACTTTCTCTTTAAGGTATTTTTAGTTGTAGATAATTACTGCTCTGCTCTTAAAAATTGTATGAGAGATTTATTGATATATTTCAGGAGCTTTGATGTAGCCAGTCCACCTAACTACTTTTAAAAATAATATTTTGTTTTAAAATATGAGTAACTTGTAGCTTGAGAGTTTAAAAGAAGCTTCTCCAGCACTTCTTTTATTGATTGATTGTCTGATAAAAAATATTTCATTGATTAGTAACAATCCTTGCTTCTTAACAATGAAAATGAGTACTTTAGTTCATTAAGAACAATATTAGGGTCCATTCACACTGAACCCTTTATTGTTTCATTCATTCATTCATTATTTTTTATTTTATATTTTATTCACTTTTAAATGCATAAACTAGATGGACATTTGACTATTGCACTCACATCTTATGTCTTTTGCAGCGTCTTAATTGTTAGAAAAAGTTTAACTTTTTTTAGGTTCTGCTTTTATTTCATTCCATCTCCCTGTGCCTCACATTTTTATATAGAAAAATGTAGCCTGTATGAACCATTATTTAACCATCCTTTTAAGTGACATGCCACCCATTAATGCATGACCAAAGGTGTTTAGGTAACTGTTAGTTGTTGCCGATACCAAAACATTTATCTGTCCCTCACAAACCTTCAGTAAGATCTGCTGTAAAGGTACAAGCACGTTACTAGAAAATATCTTAGATGGGGTCTCTTCACTTGTTGACCTTTGTGTTAGCAGGATATCTCCTGAAGGGAGACTTTTTGAGGCTTTGAGTAGGAAGAACAGCAGTTATATTCTTTAGAGAGAGTGTAAGTGTCAGGACCCCTGCTCTGTATCGAATTCATTTCCCAGCTCGTCATGTCAGCCAATGGCTTGTTCAAAGCCACTGCTGAGATATTTGATCTCTCAGCTGTCATTAGCACTACACTCATGTCTTTCAGCTCTCTTTCACAAACTAACTTCACTAGCCTCAGAAAAAAAAGCTTTATCAATCATTCCCTTTTTACATTCTTTCAGAAGAGCCTTACAAAGTTGTCACAATAGCTGTTTACTAGAGTCACATCAAGCTGAAAAATATGCTCTCTGGTCTTCTTTTGTAAGTCAGTGTGATTTGTCATGGGAAAGGAAGAGCTTGCAAAATACAGAGGGGGGGGGGGGGGGGAGAAAAAGAAGGCGAAAATGGTGCAAGCTGTAGAAAGAATTCCCCAGACTGGCCCAGTTAACCCCCTCTGCCCCTGGTGCAGCACTCCAATCCCTGCGCGCTTCTCCAGGACTGATTCAATTTGCCCACAAACCATCTGCGGGAACCCCCAAAAGCAAGAGGGAAAGTGAAAGAGTCACACTCAGCCTTTTCTCATTCTGCCAGCCCCCCCTGATGTATTGCTGTCAGCATTCCCTGATGTACATATAAAATTACATTATTTATACACTCATGAACACACATCAAACGGACAGGCGTGTACTGCTGCATTATTATTGGTTATTGTTTGAACTAGACAACTGAGGGACATATATATATATATATATGTGTGTGTGTGTGTATGTGTATGTATGTGTGTATATATATATATATATGAGCAAATAAAATGATCTAAAATACAAAAAATTAACAAAATATGAAAAACGATATTATATATATATATATATATATATTATTTTAAATGGTGTAGTTTAAATAGTGTAATGATATATGCAGCATCAGAATTTCTATGAATTCTATGAATAGTTTCCTTATACTGTAGTTCTCAACACTTTAAGCTAGGACAGGAGAACGTATTTTAACATTAAAAAAAATACACAGATCAGCTTTAAGAAAATGCCTGTCCTTTTTTTGTTTATCCCTTTCTTTCTGTCTCTCTTTTTTATGCTCTTTTTCTAAGGCAGAAATAAAAGTGCTGCCCAAAGCCTTTTCAGAGACTATTAAGAGTAGAATATGCTGTGTGTTTATGCTACCGCTGGCACGATCTTGGTCTGGGGAAAAAAGAGAAAAGAATGAAAAACTGCTTTTCCTCCAGGTCTTTTTCTGTAGATGTTGTTGGTCATTGTTTTACTCTTTGTAGAGACTACTGCAGACTTAAGGACCTCGAGCCTTCCCTGAGCTTCGTCTTGGGCAGAGGTTAAAGAGACAAATCTTGAGGATTGAGCTCTTCAAAAGCGCTGGGGTTATGTCAATATGACCGTATGTTTTCATGTGGGCTCCAGTCCGCTGAGCTCTTCTGGGTAGTTTAGTGTGGCTTTCTCTCTCTATTGCAGAACCTGAAGGAGTCTTTCCTCCAGAGGTGGTGGTCCTAAATAGCACAGCAGTGAGGGTGCTATGGACAGCTCCTCTTGTTCCAAATGGTGTAGTCACAAAGTACTCCATCTATCTTGATGGCCATCTCTATGAGTCTACTAGCAATGGAACTGGATCACTGGAAGTGGGAGGACTTTTGCCGTTCACTGTCCACAGTATTCAGGTCTGGCCTTCTATCTAAACACACGCATACATAGTTTTATTTAGCGTACAGTGGTGTGAAAAAGTGTTGGCCCCCATCCTGTTTTTTAATTTTTTGCACATTTGTCACACTTAAAAGATTCAGATCATCAAACAAATTTTAATATTACACAAAGATAATGCAAGTAAATACAAAATGCAGTTTTTAAATGATTATTTATTTTATTAAGGGAAAAAAGCTGTCCAAACCTGCCTGGCCCTACGTGAAAAAGTAATTGCCCCCTAAATCTAATAACTGGTTGTGCCACGCTTTGCAGCAACAACTGCAATCAAGTGTTTGCGATAACTGGCAATGAGTCCTTCACATCGCTGTGGAGGAATTTTGGCCCACTCTTCTTTGCAGAATTGTTTTAACTCAGCCACATTGGAGGGTTTTCGAGCATGAATGGACTGTTTAAGCATCTCAATCGGATTTAAGTCCGGACTTTGATTTGGCCACTCCAAAACCTTAATTTAGTTTTTCTTGAGCCATTCAGAGGTGGACTTGCTGGTGTGTTTGGGATCATTGTCCTGCTGCATAACCCAAGTGCGCTTGAGGTCACAAACTGATGGCCGGACATTCTCCTTCAGGATTTTCTGCTAGAGAGCAGAATTCATGGTTCCATCAATTACGGCAAGTCGTCCAGGTCCTGAGGCTGCAAAGCAGCCCCAGATCATCACACTACCACCACCATGTTTGACTGTTGGTATGATGTTCTTTTTATGAAATGCTGTGTTGGTTTTACACCAGCTGTAACAGGACACACACCTTACAAAAAAGTTCAAATTTTGTCTCATCAGTCCACAGAATATTTGCCCAAAATCTTGGGGATAATCAAGATATTGCTTGTGAAATGAGAGACGAGCCTTTGTGTTCTTTTTGGTCAGCAGTGGCTTTTGCCTTGGAACTCTCCCATGGATGCCGTTTTTGCCCAGTCTCTTTCTTATTGTTGAATCATGAACACTGACCTTAATTGAGGCAAGTGAGGCCTGCAGTTCTTTAGATGTTGTTCTGGGTCCTTTAATGACCTCTTGGATGGGTCGTTGTTGTGCTCTTGGAGTAATTTTGGTTGGCCGGCAACTCCTGGGAAGGTTCACTATTGTTCCAAGTTTTCTCAATTTTTGGATAATGGCTCTGACCGTCGTTCGCTGGGGTCCCAAAGCCTTAGAAATGGCTTTATAATCCTCTCCAGACTGATTCATGTCAACTGTTTTGATTCTCATCTGTTCTTGAATTTCTTTAGATCGCGGCATGATGTGTTGCTATTTAAGCATGCTTCACTTTGTCAGACAGGTTCTATTTAAGTGATTTCTTGGTTCAACAGGTCTGGCAGTAATCAGGCCTGGGTGTGGCTAGTGAAATTTAACTCAGCTTTCTAAAATAATGTGGTTAATCACAGTTTTTTCATGATTTAACAGGAGGGGGCAATTAATTTTTCACGTAAGGCCACGTAGGTTTGGACAGCTTTTTTCCCTTAATAAATGAAATCATCATTTAAAAACTGCAATTTGTATTTACTTGCATTATCTTTGTGTAATATTTAAATTTGTTTGATTATCTGAAACATTAAAGTGTGACAAACATGCAAAAAAATAAGAAATCAGGAAGGGGGCCAACACTTTTTCACACCACTGTATATTAAAAGTTCAAAAGTCTGAGACCACATTGAAAATCTAGGATCTAAAGGTTTTAGGATTTAAAATGGGCAAGTAAATAAATAAATAAATAAGGATTTTAAATCCTAAACTAATAATTATGTTTCTGTAATATTGCACATATAATTTCACTTATTTTTTGTGCTGATTTTAAATTTTTAGTATTGTATGTAATTTTAGTGTAAAATGGTCTCAGATTTTGGACCTCTCTTTGTTTTGGATTTAACCTGTGCAGTGGGGCTGTTCTCTGTGTTTAGGTGGAGGTGTGTACCGTGTATGCGTGTGTGGAGAGTAACAGCACTCAGATGACCACGGTGGAGGACACACCGACTGAAATCGCCAAACCTCAGATTCAGGTGCTTAGCTCAAGGTGAGTCAGTCAAGCAGACACAGATAGTGGTGTGAATGTGAGTTTACCAGGATTAATTAAATATATACAGGGGGGTGGGGAACTAAACCATTAATATATAATATATAGCCTATTTACGAATGCATAAAGCTTGCCGCAAAGCACCGGCAAAAGTAATGACTGTTTTGGGAATAATAGCAAGAAGATATTTTCATTATTTTTTAATAAACTAGCGTTTTCTTAGTATGTCGGCTGCAAAGATGAAGTGGACTCGCCATCTCCTCAGTACGGTGGACGCACCTTTAGAGAGAAATTAGCCTTTCATACAGATTACATAGAGTATTTGTTTTCTATTTGAATTGGTTCATTTTAATGTTGACATTTCAAGCTTTCTTTAGATATATTTCTCATGTCTGTGAGGCAAGTAGCCTATACGCTGAGTATCGCCACGCTTGAGTTTTGTGTGCATGTTGTGGATAATCTGTTGGTTAAATATTCACCATCCCTTCGAAGTGTGACGTGGTGAGCCCAAACAATCCATCTACCATCTACATTTGGGGTGCCCAATCCTGTTCCTGGAGATCTTACTGTAAAGTCTGATCAAACACAACCCAACCAGCTCATTTAGATCTTCAGGAGCACTTGATAATTGCAGACAGGTGTGCTTGATCAGGTTTGAAACTGAACTCTGCAGGTACAGTAGGTAGATCGCCAGGAACAGAATTTGGCATCTCTGATCTACATTGTTCCTTCAATTATTTTATAAAATAATTATGAATAATTACAAAACAAGGGTAATTCACCAAATTTGTCTCTTTATGATACATGTGAAGTGTCCAAATGTGCACAGCACAGCTACTTGAGCCATTTTATTTTCCCTGTATGTCTATTGTTTTGCACTGGAAAATAAAGTGGGATGTATAGTTTTCACATGTTTTACTGTTGTCTTACATTGAACCTTTGCCTAACTGGTGGTTAGTGAACATTTTGAGATGACTTGAAAACGGTTGCAGCCCGTGTTGACTCAGTACACTGTACACAATATAAGAGAACCTTACACATACTACAGTGTAACACAGTGTAAGAAATTGTAAAAATTGTGTTTTTTTTAAGGCCCTAGGGCTCTGTGTGCCATAATAAGCCATAATTCACATATTTCCTGCCGTGTTGTCTCCCACCCTCATGTCATATCACCAGTGTGCTGTACTCACTCCCAATAGAATACTAACTACTGATCGATTGGCCCGACATGGCTGGCCGTGGCCTACACATGCCCCAAACAGTTCATTTATTTGCCACGCTAGATTTGCTCGAGTGGAATTTAATCAATAGCTAATTCATTAATTCTGTCTCTGGTGCTATGTGGGGGCTGGGAACAGGAATTGGCGGCTGGCTTAAGCTTTGATTGAAATATGACAAGTGCTGCAACCGATGGCTTACACACTGCTGCCGCCCAATATGAATTCCAGTTATTTCTCTCCATGAGGGATTAACGGTGGACAGCAAATGACACCCTTTGTAATATAATACTAACACATTTGTTATAGGAAAGCTGCTTCCCCATCCCTAACCCCTCAAGAAAAAAAGTAAGCATGAATAATATTTAGTTTTTTTTTAAAGCCCACAGTAATCTCCAAACGATTCTCTGTCTGTACTTTAAAAGAGGAAGCCTTGTCGCATTTCATGAATTCCTAATCAGATACTAAGGTCTGTCAGCTTTAAGTCGTCAGAGGCCTTCACTATCAATTAGCTTCCACATCAGGGAGGGGACAGAGGAGAGGAGAGAGACCCACGCAAACCGTAATCATGTCATTCTCTACGTCTTGCGTATGTGACAAGAGATTTGCACAACACAAAAGATATGGGCAAAAAGCAAAGGAAGCCAAATCACAGAGCGGTATGGATATTATCATGTATGGCGAGGAGATGAAAAAGATGATGAAAACAAAAGCACATTTCCATAAGGTTATGGCAACAGTTAAGAAAGAAATAAGGCTTGTTTAATGGCTTTTTGGTTTTTCCTTCCTGTTTGCTCTCTGCAGTGTTCCGTCAGGCAGCAAACTGCACTGCCAGATGCAAATGTTTTTTGTGTTGTTTTGTTTATTGTTTTGTTGTCCTTCCCTGCCTACTGTTCCTTTAGATAGCAAGCTGCACCACCAAATGTGAATTTTTTTGTTTTGTATTTACTTGCTTGCTTGTTTCTTATTTACTCATTTATTAACTAATGCTAATAAAAAGTGTGTTGCTTACGGTATGCCACAGCAGGATTCCTAGTATGTGCCATTTAAAACTTATCTTGTATTTTAAGGTAAGTTTGATTATGAATAAGTGATTAGTAAAATACATTTGTTGCTATTACTAAATATTACAAAATGGGATACAGTAAAATTCTTGTAATACGAAATATTTTAATGACATAATACAGGTCTCAATATTTTATCCAGTATCTCAAAGTAAGCAGTAGTGAACAAAAATTGTTCCTTTCTGTGGAAAGCCAGCTCTCCTGATGAGTGGAGAGGAAAATTAATACAAGAAGTACAGTGGGGGCAAAAAGTATTTAGTCAGCCACCAATAATTCTTTAAAAATCCTACAATGTGATTTTCTGGATTTTTTTTTCCTCATTTTGTCTCTCATAGTTGAGGTATACCTATGATGAAAATTACAGGCCTCTCTCATCTTTTTAAGTGGGAGAACTTGCACAATTGGTGGCTGACTAAATACTTTTTTGCCCCACTGTACATCAGAAAAAGAAAATATGACACGTATCATAACTCTGCAATACTGCACAGCACATCTATTTGGCTCTAGTATATCAAGTTGTAGAAAGCGCTATATAACGAGGCGATTATCACCATTTTTCTATTATATTACATGCTTTCTCCTTGACAGTGACAAAACAAAAACAAAGTATGAACTAAAACCAGACTGACAATATACACCAAGTGATGAGCAGTATTTGTGAATGTGTAATATCTGTGCTTTGTCTGTATACTGTATGTGTTAGATCAGTTAAACTAGAATGGACATCACCTGGTAAGCCCAATGGCATTCTGGGAGGATATGACGTGTGGCGGAGCACCCTGCAGCGGTGCGAGGAGCTGCAGACCCAGCAGGCGTTTGCTCCTCAGGCTCACTGCTCGTACCTGGAGTGCCTTGCAGAACAAGACTTCTGCGGCAAGACCTGTTATAAGCCTGAGACACAGGTAACTACTCACTAACCTCTATTAAACTGTTATACTTAGATCATTAGTTTTGATGGTAGAGTATTCCATGAAGAAACAGTGACGAATCAGTTGGAGTGGCTGGTATTTATCTATGAAGCACAGTCCCTGTGATTGGTTTCAGTAAACAGATTAACTTGTCTTCTGCAATTGCTGCCATCCTGGTGTTATTGAAATACAGCCAAATTGGCAAGCGCAAACAGGCCATACGTCTCCACCAGCTTAAATCAGACAGTAATACACTAGAGACAAGCACACAAAGAGAACACAACTTGAAAAAGGACAAGAGCTCTCAAAGCTGTAAAGCAGTATAATAGAAAAATGAGTTTCACAGAGGCAACATGACACACTATTGTGATGTGTTAATGGAGCTCGTCTTGAATTCAGCATTATCCATAGTTTAACACCTATTGAAAGGTGTTTTTGTTTGATTCTTTATTAGTACTAATAGGAAATATCAGCTATAATTAGAGATGTCAATTTAATGTGTTATTTTAATTATAAAAAAGGTAGAAAAATGAACACATTTAAACATGCTGTATATTCTACAATAGGGGATTTCCCTATTGTCTGGGCAATTTAAGCTGGTCCAGTGGTTCTGAACAGTTTTGACTTGAAGGCCCCTCATTGTCCAACACTATATCCCAAGACACTAATCAAAATGTTTAATCAACCTGTGAGATAAATTAAATAAAAATTTCAGTCAGCATGAATTGAAAATTCACACGCTCTTTGTCCTAATTGGACTTGTGAAAGATTCATCAATGCATCATTTATCTCTGGTGATGTGTTCCAGACTTTTCCAATCCTTTAATCCCTGCCCCCTTCTTACAGTGGACTGTAAGCTTGCCTTCATATCTGCCTCTATCCAATAAACAACCGATGGATTTTATTTTTTGATAATCGTTTTTACTTAGATACCTTGTCAGAAGCCTATAACTCTGGCTGAAATTGTCTTTTGAGGGCAATTTCATACTGTATGCACAAGCTTTCTTTTTGTACTGCCTTTACATGTACTGGTTGTAATTCTCAGGAGTTTGATAAACTGGGTTCAAGTAGGTTTAAAAGTTCAGACCTCTCTCAAAGGCACAGCAGAGGAGGTATTTACTGGATGCCATTTTTCTACTGGAAGCTGGGCCAGAAGGTAAGGACAATGTCAGTGGCTCAGGGCAATACAGCTTTTTCAGACACCACAAGAGTATCATCTCAGCGCTATGAGAATCTATCCTGCCCTGATTTCTCGCCAAAGTAGGCAGCGGAGTCTGGCTAAATATAGCCTGCCGCTGTGGAGCGAAGAGATGGGCTGGAGTTCTACCTGCGCTCACATGTGCCTCTGCGGGCCCTCAGGGCTGAGGCATTGCCACCTCTTAAATTCCTAATTGTCTTGAGGAGTGAGAAACTTGTATGGACAATGTATTTGAATTGCATATATTTTTATATGCGTTTTATTGTTGCAGGTATGCTGTGCAGGGACTGTTCACAGCGTAAATCAGTCTCATCAGTGTTGTGAAGAGCGTTATGTTCCAGCTTTAGAGGATTCTGGGAGTGTGTGTTGTGGAGGTCAGTTTTTCCAGCCTATGCCTCAACACCAGTGCTGTGGAGGATATTACATACTAGTTCCACCAGGTATGCACTGCATTCAGCATTAACACAGCCAAATGTGAATTCAACTTATGCTGCATAAAAATATCAATCTCAGTATTTCTTCCTTATTTTTTGAACATTCTTTTGTTTTACATCACATACTGTAGTTGATTGTTCTATATGTGTTCAAAGGAGAGGTCTGTTGTCCGGACTCTGTGGAACGGCGTGTATCTGTTGGTCTCGGGGACTCGTGTTGTGGTGGGAGTCCTTTCATGTCTGGAGCCAGACAGATCTGCTGTGGGGGGCATCTTTATGATGGCTTCAGCTCCCAGTGCTGTGGAGGACAGCTAGTCCCAAGAGAGATGGTGTGCTGTGGGGATGCTCACCAGGGGACGCCCTATAAACATGTATCAGGTTAGCTTGGAGAAACATGCTTGTCGAACATTGTCACAACTGAAATGTATTGTACACTACCGTTCAAAAGTTTGGGGTCAGTAAAGTCTCTTATGCTCACCAAGGCTGCATTTATTTAATCAAAAACACAGTAAAACCATAATATTGTGAAATATTGTTACAGTATGAAACAACTGTTTTCTATTTGAATATATTTTAAAATCCTGTGATGCAAAGCTGAATTTTCAGCAGCCATTACTCCAATCTTCAGTTTCACTTTCTAAAAGGCTCATTTGCTTCTCAAGAAACATTTATTGTTATTATAAATGTTAAAAACAGTTGGGCTGTGTAATATTTTTGTGAAAACCATGATACATTTAGTTTTTCAGGGTTCATTGATTAATAGAAAGTTCAGAAGAACAGCGTTTGAAACAGAAATCTTTTGTAATGTTATATACAGTATGTCTGTACTGTCACTTTTGATCAGTTTTTTGATCAATGCATCCCTGCTGAATAAAAGTGTTTCTTTCTCTCTTTCAAAAATATTACTGATCCAAAACTTTGAACAGTATTTTAGAGAAAAGTTGGTTCCGGTCCTCATATTTGATTGGTCCTAGTCATATCTGATCTGCAGTCGCAGTCCAGCACAGAAGTGAACCACTATTGATAACATAATAAGTATAATTTGCATTTACCACATCACACTTATAGTACAATCCGTTTATCACAGCCGCTTGTCAGAGAGCAGAATTGTACTGTCAGGACCGCCTTAAAATCCTCTCCTTCTGCAAAACAGAAAATGTGGCGCTAGTAAACTTTAAATGGGACAAAGCACGTATGACCACTTCATTGTGGCTAAGTTTAGCCCTCACTCCTTAGTGACTTTCTAATGACACTGTGGTGGGTGTCAGAGGAGCTGAACCCTCTTGGGGTCACCCAGGCTCCCCTGCAGTGCCCTGCTAAAGTGGGCACCTGGGCACAGATGGGCTGGATGGGCACTGGCCCTGGTGTCAGCCATCTTTGTCAGGCTGGATGATGGAGCTGAGTCTATCTGAGCACCAACCAGAGCTGTGCCAAGCCCACAGCAGGCTCCCAGGATGCAACAGAACTAATGGCCACCATGAGGTCAGTGGCATCAGTGTATTTATCATACAAACACACTCTCCAAGTCGTTCGGTGGCTTCGGTAGCATCCTGGGATTGGGTCCAGTAAACATTTTCAAGCTTTGGTTAATCACCCTGCCCTTGATATACAGTTTTTCAAAGCTGTCCCCCTTTTTTAGGGAACTTAATCACTTCATTCGTTTCACTACATACCTGGAGTTATTTCAGAAGCTAGCAGAACATTTTCCTCAAGATTAAAACACACCACGCCACAGTGCTCGCTCACATTACCTCGCTTGATTTTCTCTTCCTTTGGTTCATCTTACTGAAATAAGGCAGATGAAGAAGTCATCGCTCATTAAAGAGAGGATCCTGGGGAGAGCATATGTTATGATGGATAGTACTGTTAGGATAACTAAAGGCCATTTGCCTGGTAGCCACACCGCTGGTGCGCGGAGCTGGGGGCTCACGCCGCGAGCTCCACGCTGGCTCCTCACTCTGTCAGTCTGCTCTATTATTGAATGAGCTACTTAACCTTGATAAAGACACCCCAACTCCCTCAAGGTTCCGTCTCCTTTAGCGGCGGTGAGGGTCTCTGCAAATATAAGCTAATGGACAGATAATGCGGCATATGCCATGAGCTGCTATCCTCTTCTATTGGCTAAGGAGGATGTAATGTGAGTAAAAGCTGAAATGTGCTGCAGACTGTGGCAAAACTATAGGCTTTGGTGAACGCCTAATGGGGGCTTAATTAGGTTTATTAGGCATATGACTGCTTATTTCTTAAATTTTTGTGTTATAGGATTTTTACCATAGTTAAGCTATGTTACTAGTTAAACTAGTAACCATTGTTTTTCAATGAAGTGAAGTGTCTAACTCCCCTTAACCATAGTAAAATCACTGTAACGCTTGACCTCTCATGTCTAATTGTTTGTATAAAATGCCAACAACAGCAAAAGGCTCTGATGTTCTGTAGGACGTTTGAGATTTTTGTTTTCTGAAAGAAATTAATACTTAATGTTACCAACCACATACTTTTGAATGGTAGTGTAGTTCATTTGTATTGACTAATACACTTGATGCATTCAAATGTGACTCAACCAATCAAATTATAGTGCATTTAGTACATTTTAAATAGATGCGTATTTTAAATTTAGATGCCATATACAGTGGGTACGGAACCCCCTTAAATTTTTCACTCTTTGTTATATTGCAGCCATTTGCTAAAATCATTTAAGTTAATTTTTTTCCCTCATTAATGTACACACAGCACCCCATATTGACAGAAAAACACAGAATTGTTGACATTTTTGCAGATTTATTAAAAAAGAAAAACTGAAATATCACATGGTCCTAAGTATTCAGACCCTTTGCTGTGACACTCATATATTTAACTCAGGTGCTGTCCATTTCTTCTGATCATCCTTGAGATGGTTCTACACCTTCATTTGAGTCCAGCTGTGTTTGATTATACTGATTGGACTTGGTTAGGAAAGCCACACACCTGTCTATATAAGACCTTACAGCTCACAGTGCATGTCAGAGCAAATGAGAATCATGAGGTCAAAGGAACTGCCTGAAGAGCTCAGAGACAGAATTGTGGCAAAGCACAGATCTGGCCAAGGTTACAAAAAAAATTCTGCTGCACTTAAGGTTCCTAAGAGCACAGCGGCCTCCATAATCCTTAAATGGAAGACGTTTGGGACCACCAGAACCCTTCCTAGAGCTGGCCGTCCAGCCAAACTGAGCTATCGGGGGAGAAGAGCCTTGGTGAGAGAGGTAAAGAAGAACCCAAAGAGCACTGTGGCTGAGCTCCAGAGATGCAGTCGGGAGATGGGAGAAAGTTGTAGAAAGTCAACCATCACTGCAGCCCTCCACCAGTCGGGGCTTTATGGCAGAGGGGCCCAGACATTCACAGAAGCAGCATTTAACCGGTGTGTGAATGCAGGAAGCCTTTAACTATAGACCATCAAACCGCGATTGACTAAATATTAACTGGTCCAACAGATTTCCAGACGAAAGGCATTTTGTGATCACTGAGCTCAAACTAATTCATAAAATGTGGTTCGATCTTGCATTATTTTTAGCCGCTCCAGGTAATAAGAGCAGCAGAAGCAGACTCTCTGCGGACGTGCTACTTCACAGAGAGATTTACTGACAGCCCTCAACGCGGCCGGCGCATATAAAAACACCTCTTTATTATCCCATAAAAGAGAAACAGCATTGGACCAACATTGTTCAGCACGACGCTCTGACTTTCTTCCTGCACAATCAAATTACACAACAAGAGACAAACTTTGGACACAATGGGTTTTAGAAATGAGACATTACGAAGTGAGCAAGAAAAATCTATATATTGACATTGTATAAACAAGTATGGTTTTTGTATCAACATTTCAGCAACTGTGATGTAAAATTGATGGTGCATTATTTTAACGTGCATGTCTGTGTCCCATTTCAGGGAGCGAATTTTCAGGGAATCCCTACAGCCATCCACAGTACACAACCTATAATGAAGCCTGGAGATTTAGCAACCCAGCAATACTGAGTGAGTGTCTCCTTACAAAAACACAGTTTCTGCCAAAGTATCATAGGTAAAGTATTTGTTACTACAATAAAACTGATGCTTTGTATTAGACACCACTGTCCTCAATCGATCGATCAATCAATCAATCAACTTTTGAAATTACATAAATATATATTTAAAAATAATATAATAAAAAAAAATTATAGAAAAAAATGTATTACATTTAAAAAGTACTGAATGCAAAAAAAGTAATCAAATATAATTATTAAATAAATAAATAGTTTTAGAAAGCTTACTAAACAGTTGAAAGGACATCCCAAATAAATTGTAGTCACTTTAACTGATTAACTGTATGTTGAGAGTTATATGTTTGCTAGAAATTAATTAACAGTCCTTTAAGATTAACAGATCTTATTGTTTTTTTTTTGGTTTTTTTGCTGTCTAAAACGCTTGACTCTGCAACAGTTTTTGCATTTATGACTTTTTGTAGTATTATGTGGTGAATCTTTACCAATAATCATTATGCAATAACAATTAGCTGTGAATGTTTTAGTGCACAAGCTAAATATGCCGTAAGCATCTGAATATTAGCTGAAATGACATGAAATATATATATATTTGGGTATTCTGTAAACAACATGGTAAATTAAATAAAAATAGCATTGTGTGTTCATAGAGCGATTATATGTGTTAAAAATATTTTTTCCAGTCGTTTACATAATTATTTCAATTTTATTGGTTTGTAATTCCTGGATCTTGGCTGAAGTTGATGGAATTTGCATTAATTATTTTGATAGCAAAATCCTGGCCATACATGAAATCAATACTATATGATGCTTAAAACAAATATGCATTTAATATATTAATATGCAGTCATTGTCGTGGTGTATTGAAATGGTACATTCCTTTCTTATTAACTTTCAGGTTCCCCCTATTATTATAGTGCATCCCGAGGCTCCGCCACTGCCTATGACCGCCACTAGTTACCACAGAAACCAAATCAGGCGGCACGCCCATGGACTCAGACTTCATATTCTGCCAGTGTGAGCAGTGCAGCTGATTGAACAGAGTGGTTTCATGCAGTCACATGATGAAGAATAGACCAATCAGGAACAAAAACATCTCGACGACAATTCAGCCAGTCGCACGAGCCTCAAACCGACAAACGAACAATAAATGTATAACTCAAAGACTGAGGGTAAATATGATTTTTAAAACAAAATTAACATCTGCTTTTTTAATACTTTTATATTTTGTCCGTTCATTAATATTATTCATAGGTATTCATACTTAAAGAGGTTCTAGCATATATATGTATTTGTTTGTTTGGATAGACACTGAAATGAATGATATCAACGGTTGGACATTTTCTAAAATGAAAATTGCTAATACAGTGGGTACGGAAAGTATTCAGACCCCCTTAAATTTTTCACTCTTTGTTATATTGTAGCCATTTGCTAAAATCATTTAAGTTATTTTTTTTTCCTCATTAATGTACACACAGCACCCCATATTGACAGAAAAACACAGAATTGTTGACATTTTTGCAGATTTATTAAAGAAAAACTGAAATATCACATGGTCCTAAGTATTCAGACCCTTTGCTGTGACACTCGTATATTTAACTCAGGTGCTGTCCATTTCTTCTGCTCATCCTTGAGATGGTTCTACACCTTCATTTGAGTCTAGCTGTGTTTGATTATACTGATTGGACTTGATTTGGAAAGCCACACACCTGTCTATATAAGACCTTACTGCTCACAGTGCATGTCAGAGCAAATGAGAATTATGAGGTCAAAGGAACTGCCTGAAGAGCTCAGAGACAGAATTGTGGCAAGGCACAGATCTGGCCAAGGTTACAAAAAAATTTCTGCTGCACTTAAGGTTCCCAAGAGCACAGTGGCTTCCATTCCTTAAATGGAAGACGTTTGGGATGACCAGAACCCTTCCTAGAGCTGGCCGTCTGGCCAAACTGAGCTATCGGGGGAGAAGAGCCTTGGTGAGAGAGGTAAAGAAGAACCCAAAGATCACTGTGGCTGAGCTCCAGAGATGCAGTCGGGAGATGGGAGAAAGTTGTAGAAAGTCAACCATCACTGCAGCCCTCCACCAGTCGGGGTTTTATGGCAGAGTGGCCCGACGGAAGCCTCTCCTCAGTGCAAGACACATGAAAGCCTGCATGGAGGACTCCAAGATGGTGAGAAATAAGATTCTCTGGTCTGATGAGTCCAAGATAGAACTTTTTGGCCTTAAGCGTTTTTTCTAAGCGGTATGTGTGGAGAAAAGCAGGCACTGCTCATCACCTGTCCAATACAGTCCCAACAGTGAAGCATGGTGGTGGCAGCATCATGCTGTGGGGTGTTTTTCAGCTGCAGGGACAGGACGACTGGTTGCAATTGAGGGAAAGATGAATGCGGCCAAGTACAGGGATATCCTGGACGAAAACCTTCTCCAGAGTGCTCAGGACCTCAGACTGGGCTGAAGGTTTACCTTCCAACAAGACAATGACCCTAAGCACACAGCTAAAATAACGAAGGAGTGGCTTCAGAACAACTCTGTGACTGTTCTTGAATGGCCCCGCCAGAGCCCTGACTTAAACCCAATTGAGCATCTCTGGAGAGACCTAAAAATGGCTGTCCACCAACGTTTACCATCCAACCTGACAGAACTGGAGAGGATCTGCAAGGAGGAATGGCAGAGGATCCCCAAATCCAGGTGTGAAAAACTTGTTGCATCTTTCCCAAAAAGACTCATGGCTGTATTAGATCAAAAGGGTGCTTCTACTAAATACTGAGCAAAGGGTCTGAATACTTAGGACCATGTGATATTTCAGTTTTTCTTTTTTAATAAATCTGCAAAAATGTCAACAATTCTGTGTTTTTCTGTCAATATGGGGTGCTGTGTTTACATTAATGAGGGAAAAAAATTAGCTTAAATGATTTTAGCAAATGGCTGCAATATAACAAAGAGTGAAAAATGTAAGGGGGTCTGAATACTTTCCGTACCCACTGTATATTTAGGCCTGTCTTCAAGAGTGGGTTGTCAGAGAGAAATTTGTCTGTTTTTCTATTTGTGTTTCTGAACTTTGTTGTTCAGAAATGCCATGACATTGTGTTTAAGCTGCACGTGTTCCTCCAGATTGTGGAAATAGAATCACAGGCAGTTTTTTGAGGATGTCCCTCTGAGATCCAGCTGATGGGCGATGGAAATGTGATTACTGGGTCCCCAAAGTGCGATCTGTCACACATTACACTCTAGCCTGTCAGGACTCGCAGTGCTCCGGCACAGCGGAGATGGAATTGTTGGAGACAGCCATCAGCTGTTTGAAAAGCTGCCTGTGAACCAATCCCTTAACCAGTCTCAAAAGAACTGCTATTAGTCAAATTACAAAAGAAAATTAACAATGTCACCTTTTGGGCACGGTGTGTACATCACTAAAGAAACAATCGATCGATCAATAATTAAATAACAATTAAAACAGCATTATGTGCCATACAAAGTCTCTAGTATTTTGCTTTTTGATGGGTGATTACAGAGTCATTACACATTTTTTAAACCAAATTTTATAGTATCATTTTCATTGTTTACATTAAAAATAAATATTGTATTATTTTATATTGTGATAAATAATATATTATAATAAAATACTAGATATCATAAATATTATTTGCTATTGGTATATTACATAGTGCAGGATTTTTTTTTATTAAATATTTTTCTGATCATTTAGATTCTGTATATTTAATGAAAGAACTAAAGCACAATTTTTTTTTTATCTGTTTTCCAGTCTATTTTTTACTTTAAAAAGCAGTATTTATTTTAAAACCTTTTAATATATGAAAAATTATCAAATCTTTGAACATTTTTGAGTGAAGCAATAAAATTGAATCAAACGTTCCAACTCTAACACAGTTTTGCAAATGACACAGGCTTAGAAAACATCATAACCAAATAGAACACATAACAATTATCGTAATTTTATCAATGTTGCCTAATTATAACCCAAATTATAACCAAGATTTCACACCAGTTACAGAAACAAAGACATCTGTTTGAAGTTGAATTGTGAAACATTTCATCATCCACCATAACAAGTTACGAAAGCCTTTAAACTGTCGAAATCCAATCCAGTCTTCTGAATGTTTCCATTTGAGACATGAGAAACAGTTTAGACAATAGCCTTCAGTAATACAGGGTATTACTGTAAATGTCCCGCTGTCCTGTTTAAAGTTTAGATTTGGATTACAGGGTTTTCTGCATCTGGAGGCTTGGTGTCATATGGAGAGCTCTTTTAATATCTGCTTATGTACAGAGCTTTGCTTAAAAGCACAGTGCCTGTATCACAGTCAAGGTTATATCTGAATATTTTACTCCATTTAAGTGTTAAAAGCTTTAGAGCTGTGTGTGTGTGTGTGAGAGAGAGAGACAAGGATCATAAGAGTGGGTGTGGGAATGGCTGTGACGATGTCAAAAAAGTACAATAATTAAATATATTCTCAAGGACACAATAAGCATTTGCGAGTGGAAATGATCCCGGTGGCTGAATGCATCAGTGTCTGCGTTGTATTTGTTACTGCACGAGTGCTTCATCATGGCTCATATGTCCTCATATTGTTCATATTGCAAATGACAAGACATGAATGCCAGAAAGGGGATCATTCTGAGCACACATGTCTGGATCTTTTTTGCTGAGATGGATTGGAGATCATACAGATTAAGACCATTTTCTTTCAACACAGTTATGATGATAGCTTTTCTTACTTTAATCATGCCTAATAATCTCAGTTAATATCCTTGAGCAATTAAAGCATTTTGCATGGCTCAACTACTAACCACAAAGTACAGACTCCTAATGCTTTTTTGTTTGGTTTAGGAATAGTGGTGTCAGACCACTGATGGTGACGGTTCTGATGTTTTAATGTTGTTTTAATAACAAGACTGTGTATAGTAGTTTAGGTTTTTAAAGATTTTATACATTAAAATTAGGTAATGTGTTAGGTAAAACTTGTCTTGAGGTTTTTTTTATGTGAATCGTTCATGTTAAATGTTTTTAAAATGTTAATTTGGATGGATGGATGGATGGATGGATGGATGGATAGATAGATAGAAATTAATATTAACTATGATTATGCTGTATAATATTGTAAATTGTTAACTAATGCATGAACAGTTAACATATACAACCTTGTGTAAATTGTGTCATGGATGTGTTTTCTGCATTTAAAAAAATAACTCCAGACGCAGGGCAGTGGAATGAAAAACACAAGGTCTAGAGACTTATTTTTTAAAAGTTGAACTTTTAAACTGAGCATCTAGTGTTTAGAACACTGCGTCATGAAAAAGACTTGAGCACGGTCAAGCACGTCCATATAGCACGTTTAAATAGAAAAACAATGGAAAGGCAGTGCAGCGGAATGCAAATACACATTCTTTGTGAATGGCACCTTACGGTTTAATCTCAAAACTTTATTTTATTCCAAAAGTAGAAGTAGAAAAAAACCTAGAGCAACCAAGTGATATTCAAAAGTGCCATTTGTTGCATTTCTGTCATGTGCATTATAAGTTTTATGTTCAAACTTAAATCTCCTCCTTTCAGATTCCCCAAAGAGTAGTGAAAATATTACTGCTGCCCAAGCACTTTTTGTCACATGCAACCGTGGCCAATGGATGAAATGAAGAAAGTCAGTTTAATGTGCTGTCCTTTCACCTCTCCCTCAGGAATGCTTGGAATAAATAAATGAATGAAACAGCCAGGGAACAATGTTTTTTAAACTGACCGTTTGATAGCTTTGAAACATTCCTTTTTTCTGTTCCTCCATTGGCTAAAGTATATTTTATTTAACCAGGATAAATACATACTGTAGCATGTAACATGCACCTGACAAATGAGTTAAAAATGCTTGCAAATGATCATTTGAAAGAAAAAAAATGGATTAATAAAGCAAAAAAGCACATTTTCTTTAAAAAAATTGTAATGTTCACTATGTAAAGCTAGAGCACTATGAAGTTCTTTTGCTCTGTGAGTATGACTTTGAATGTGCTCAGCCATCACTGTTTTTTTAAAAGTGCTTTTGTTTGTTTGAAGTTTGTTTTACGATCCAAAGGCTTGTGTAAGCCACAGCACACATTTTTATCAGTTGCTCACTGCATGCTAAATATTTACTTATCATTAAGTGAATGAACCTTAATTCACACAGCCTAAGCACCTTATGCTCGCCTGTTCACTCGCACTCTAATGAATGTATGCAAATCCATCATAAATCTGAAGATTAGCTAAATCATTTTGCAGTGCTTAAAAAAACAAAGCGTGAGCTAAAAGGGTGTTTGTGTTTTTGCGCCGTGCCTACACCAGATTTATAGGGGCAGTGGCTTTCCCTCCTGTTATATTCATAACGCGACAAAGGTGGAGATGAAGGAAAATGAATTGTTTTAGCTGACAGGCCAAGGTCAAGTGCGGGAAACAAAATAGAAGGACATCCCCAGCTAAGAGGTCAGGGTGTCAAAGTTCACTGGTCTTTGAATGAAATATCATGAAAAATGCACCGGGGCAGGGATGGGACGAGATGGCAGAGCTATTTTGGAAAAATTGTTGAGCTGTTTATTTGCAAGTCATTGGAGCTGAAGTAATACACCCTGGGAATTGCCACCAAACACAGCGCTGCAACATCTGCTGTCCCTAAGTGAGTTAGAGCACGTCAGACATCTTTATGTCACTGCAGAGCCGTGATGGATGCGGCCCCTAGAAAACGTTGCATAAAAATCTGCTGCGCCGTTTTGGCCGTTAAGTGAAATTACTATTTAAATTAATGGCACTGTCACAGTTTATCTGTGCAAAGAATGAACGCTGATTAGGGTATTAAACAATTAGCAATTTATCATACTGGTGGTTGATGGTAATTATAGTAGTGATGGTTTACCCAAGGAAATAAACCAGGAGTCACTTCCTGTTAGAAGAATATTAAACTGCTTTTCAGAAAATTATATTCTTTCTTCCCTCTGCCACGATCTCTAATGCTATAGCATGTTCGAACAGTTTCATCTTCTTGGTCCTTATTACAGTTCCTGGCATATGCCTGAAAATACAGTTTTATAGTTTGCATATTAATGCAAGCTTTTCTCAAAATGTATAATGAGTAATATGTAGAATAAGCAGTCTGACCGTCGATGTATGCTAGCGTTCAAAAATATGGGGTCAGTAAGTCTCTTCTGCTCACAAAGGCTGCATTATTTTTTATCAAAAATGCAATAAAAATTGTGATATTGTGAAATGTTATTACAATTTAAAATAACTGTTTTGTATTTTAAGATATTTTAAAATGTAATTCATTCCTGTAATGGCGAAGCAGAATTTTCAAGAAACATTTCTTATTATTATCAATGTTGAAAACAGTTGTGCTGATTAATATTTTTTTGAGGAAACTCTGATACATTTTTGGGGGATTCTTGGATGAACAAAGTCCAAAAGAACAGCATTTATTTGAAATAGAAATCTTTTGTAATATTCTGAATGTTTTTACTCCCACTTTTGATCAATTTAATGCATTGTTGAATAAAAGTATTAAAAAATAAATAAATAGAAATCTTACTGGCCCCAAATTTTTGAACAGTGGTGTCAAAGCAGGTAGTTTAATACCCCTCAAACATAGCTGTGTTTGCAAGGCTGGTGCGTGTTTGTTGAGTCAGGCCTCAGAGAACGCTATGATGCTTTTAGAGGTAATAGGAGAGGATGCAGATATGGGTGCTGTGCGCTATTGGGAGGAGACAGTGGCCAAATCACCAGGTGAAGCTGATTCCTCATGCAGCACGGCCGTCTGCATCTTTTACATGTCAGCTGCACATGCAGCTCTCTGACATCTGACATGAAACGTCCCATGAGCTGTAATGGCCACATGTTGGATTTTAAAAAATGTGCATGTTTATATGTCAAAGATGTTTTCATATGCATTATTAGTTTCAGTTTAGTTTTGACTGTTTGACCTATGGCAACAGTGCTGCAGTGAAGTACCAGGATGAAGTCTGAATAAATTCCAAGTGCCATTCAGACAATGTTCTAAACTGCAATTCATAACTTTACTGCACTATTACAATGGATTATGATGATTAAGGCTCTCTTGCTTATTAAAAAGCATTTTCCATGTGTATAAATTTGTTTTACATAGGCTTCTTCTGCTGTGGAGAGCACTACATCAACACATCTACTTCCTGGTGCTGCACGGGTCCCGGCGGAGAGTCTAAAGTCCATGTGGTGGAGAACAGGATGGCGTCGCTGAAGTGCTGCTGGTCAGAGGTGATTGATCAGGAGGAAGAGTGTTGTAATGGAGTGGGCTTCAATCCGCTCACATCTGTGTGTGCTGACAGAGCCCCGGCCAGCATCCTCATCCTGGTAATTAACACTTTCACTCAGAGTGACATATTCACTGTATGCTCGTTCAGCAATAGTTCTTCAGGATGAAGACTTAGTGGAGACTTTGCCCTCAAGCTGTTCTGTAGTGTCACGCCAGTTTCTCAAATTCGGATTATAGCAATGCTTTGCCAAAAGTTTCCAAAACAGATTATGGAGAGACTAGTACTGTGTAGATAGACTTTTGACTAAATATCTGGTCCACACTTTAGCTAAGAACTGCCACTGATAGAAAAAAAAAATTTGTTTTGTTTTGTTTTTTGTGATGTTTAGGTGCGGGTTTATCAGAAACCATTGATCCCACTATAATAGAGGGAAATGTTAGATTTATTCAAATCAGCCCTGTGTGAAAAGCAAGTGCTCTTTATACCTTTAAAAAGAGCACTTATTATGGAAATATACTTAAGTGTGAACTATATGTAATTGCATGTTAATTACAATAAATAAAAATGTATTATAATTAAAATTTATATGACATTTAGTTACTTAAGATTAGTAGGTATTAAGTACATCCTTGTATGTAATTTAATAGTTACTTCTATTGTCTTTGAAATAGGGCTAAAGCGTTATGCTGAATGTGCTCACAAGCATTTATAGTTAACTAAAATATACTTTAATATAATTTATATTGAAATATGTACAGGTATGCCAGGTATTTAAATAAATTTGTAATTATACATTTGTTGCAATTTAATACATTTAAAATGTTAACTTTAGAAGTTGTTATTTTAAGAAAACCTGATTTTCCATAAACAGAACACAGTAAGTATAAATAAAATTGACCAGAATGCAGTTCTAGTCATGGATATCTAAGTTAACTTACTACAAAAGTATTTCAAACCAAACTCTGATCCCACTAACATTGCAAACTTTTTGACAAATCAAATAACTATACAATCTTCAAAAGTGTTCATTGTAGAAATTCAGTATCTTATAAACACAAATTTGATTATAAAAATGTTTGACCTCAATCCTGGAAATTGCATGAATCCAACCAATCAGATTAGAACTGCCTGATCCAGACTTTTATATTCAGTGCGCATCAGACAATCAGCAAACAGACTGTGAGAGGAGACTTGGAAAAGACTAATTTTATTTTTTATAATTAGCTGTTAGATTTAGCGTTGATAAATGATCAGTGTTAAAGACTGTTATTGGATAGGTGTTTTAGTAAAGTAGTTGAGTTTTAAACTTAAGCTGCCATGATGTAAAGTGGAGGTTGGAAATATAAGGCACAGAGCAGTGATGTATCTGCTCCTCTCCTCAGGAAGTAGGCACTCACAGTCACACTTCATTAATCAGATTTGCTCGCTGTAACACAAGCTCATCGTGCACCCAGCTTGAGCTCACAAGGAAAAGAAAGAGACCAAGAAAAGAAAACTAGGATGGCGGTCATTAACTTGTAATTATGTCATTAAGGGGCATCCGTGCTATTTATTGAGACAGAGGACTCCATACACACCCGCTGGCAGGGGTACTTTGACACACAACAGTTGTCTGATGACTGTTATCACTAATGAGAGCGTGTGTGCATGTGTCCTTTAGGAGAAATGCCGCCCCAGTACAGTGTGTCCTGTGTCGGTGGCCGCAGGAGCGTACTGTGGCTTGTGTGATTTTAGCCCGGTACAGTCCATCTGTACATGGGTACCAGGTGAGCCGGTCTCTACGCACGTTTCATCTCCCTCTGCTGCCGCCCACAGCCAGCTCTGCCCATCCTCAGAGGAGCTGATATACAGTGGAATGGCAAAACGATGCAGTTTCACAGGTAAATAGGTCAACAATGTTTGTGTACATTTACACACAAGATTTTTTTTATTTATTTACTTTTTTTTTTATGCTTATATATATATATATATATATATATATATATGTATGTGTGTGTGTGGGGACCAGTGTTGTTATTGACCTGTTATTAACAGTGTTGGTATTAACTAAAACTGCAACTAAAACTTCTTAAAAATCTTTTAAAAAATAGTTATTGAAATAAAATATAAATATTACAAGAAAAACTAAAAATGAAAAAACAAAAAGACATATTTAAAGAAAACAAAAAAACTATAAAATTACAGAAAAATAACAACATTACTTGGATTTAAGTATATATATATTCTAATGTAAAATAACCCTGCTCTACCCAATCACACACTCCCTTTTTTTTTTAAATGTTGGCAATTTTAATATTTCACAGATCAGGGGACACATCCTTGTATGTGAAAAAATAAAATGACTAATAGTTAAGAAAAAAATTATTATATTATGAATATATATGTATATAATAATAATTTATATATATATATATATATATATATACACAATATTATTATAGAATAATAATAATAATATATATTAATATAAAAGCAGGGTCATCATCAAGTGGAAGGGGGTGAAGGGGGCATATTATGTAAACAGCCTTTTTGGGCCCAAAGGAGAGAAAGCCCACTTTTTTCCCGAGCCCTGTGAATTTAAGCAACAGCCCTGCAAACGAGAACTAAATGTATCCAATAAACAAGAAATGGTATATGCCCAACATGCTCTTTTATGTAAAGTCATCAAACCGAATGGCTCACGCACACACACAAAAGAAGAAAGTGTCAGTCATTTCGGGGATGTTCCTCACACTGTAAACATCTGCACATTTTATGTGGTCACAAGACCAGATGCTTTAGTGTGTATTAATTGTCATGAGTCATAAATCTCACCTGCTATTTCAAACCCATCATTAAAACTTTAAGGGCGTTTAGAGCGCCCCCCCTTGACACACTTATTTATCTTTTCAGGGGGAGTGCTGGCCCCTCTTACTGGCTCAACCTCATCTGAGGTGTTATTTATTTGGTTAGTTACATCTGTTTAATCAAGACTAATGCCGGAGTTGAGGGGGCTGGCTAGCATGAGGAGAGTGATTCTAGTCAGCGCTGTGCCACCATCTGGGCAGAAGCGTATAAACCTGTCGTGGCCCTGCATTCCTCCAGATGTTTCTCACACCCCCATACCCCCGCAACCCGGAGAAAGATGACACTGAGTGCTCTCGGACAAATGCTGCACAAGCGTTGATTTGCCAGCCACACAAATATGAACGATTTCACTTCCTCCTGACTTTGTGTAGCAAACACCCTTGAGACCTTTTTGGGATATTGTCAGTTTTAAAGTCAACATGAAATAAAAAATTACCCCCATTAAATCTATCCTTGTGTGCCTATAGTGTTGTGACCATTATATGTTATTTTAATAGAAAGAAAATTGTTTTACATCCAAATGGAGTTGTCTTTTTTGACAACAATCTCCTTCAAAATCCACCTTACTCCATTCTAGAATGAAACACCCACTATAGAATCCAATCAGTTCCTTACACAGGGTTTCCGCGGGTCCTTAAAAGTCTTAAATTTAGTTGTATAAAATTTAAGGCCATAAAAAGTCTTGGTACAAGAAAGTCTTAATTATGATTTCAAGAGGTCTTAAATTTGTGGATGGAAAGACTAGAATTGCTATATGGCTGAATGTGACGATTAAACTTCAAAAGGCTATGATTTCATTATATAAACATGAGCGCTGCAGGTTTAGTCAGGTGCTGCACTGTTTTGTGGACTGCTGTTACTGCTTTATTTCTGCCGTTCCGAAAGCTGGCAGAGAATGAATTTGCATTTTCAATAAGCCATTCTTCTGTTTTTGTTCAGACCAATGTGAAAATCCACCCATGTTTTTATGCTGCAAACACGCAGAGTTGTAAATGTGAACTGTTGGGTTGACAAGAAGATAATTCATAATAAAAATCTCAACAATTAAGACAGTAAAATAAATGTGTGTTATTTAATTAATATAATGATTGATAATTGTTTAAATTAATGTAATAATTGATACTTTTGACTCATCCCTTTTCTTAAAAATGGTTTAAAGGCTGAAATGTGAAGTTTATCATTTTATAAAACTTGTATCTGAACTGTAAATCATACTTTTTACTGTCATTTTACAGTTTAATATGTTAGCATAGACATTGCCCTATGCCACTCATATGGTATTAATTTTATTTGTGCAGGTCTTAAAAAGTCTTAAATTTGACCTTTAAAATCCTGCTGATACTCTGTTACTGATAAAATAACCATACATTTTTTCTTGTTGAAAATATTTAAAATTACAGAAGGGTTGCAAATTTTATTTTGTACTAACTTCCTCCATTAAGATTAATTCCAGCTGAATCCAGTTCTATTTCAACTGAAATTTAATTGAACCCCTTTAATTAGTCATTAGTTAGTAGAAGTAGTATGTTTTGTATTTACAAAAGAAAAGAAAAATAGCAAATTGGTATTTCTTAATGTACAAGCAAATGCACATAATTTAAAAATGTTACTTATATATTTACTTCTGTATTTGTATATAAAATTTTAGTTTTATGTAATTAAGTAGAATTATAGTAAATAAGATAGTTTGCTTAAATATTATTATTATTATGTTTTTATTTACAAAATATTTACAAAAAATGCTATTGCTTAATGTACGAGCAAATAAACAGAATTTAAAAGTTGAATTTTACAAATGTTGATTTTTTTTTTGTTGTAATAATAATAATTTAGTTTGGTCAACTTTAAGACTGTGTCTTGTCCTCTTAGATGGGTATTTTGTCATCCTGTCACTCCTATAAGTGCCTCCACCTGTCTGATGAAACCCATCTCTGAGATTTACACCCATGACTCCCCAAACACACGTTTACAACAAACCACTGTACTTCTGATAACAAAGAGCATTACAGTAAATGCAGGGTCCTTGGGTACTCTTTAAACTTTAGTCTTTTTTTAGTGTGAAGACTGAGACTCTATAGAAACTCTCCAGTGGTGTCGTCAAGAGGTTTCATGGGAATTCTGAGGAATGTGTGTTTGTGTGACTGTGTTTTCTCTGGTATGTCATTTCAGACACTGAACTGGACCCTTACACCAGTTATGAGTATAGGATTGGTGCCTGGAACAGCTTTGGCCGTGGGTTCAGTCCCTCCTCTCGTGTCACTACTAAAGAAGATGCGCCCTGGATTGTGTCTCCTCCTCACTGGAGCCATGTGGGTCTGCGTGATGACATCATCCAGCTTGAATGGTCAGCCCCTAACAAGCCAAATGGTAATTATCTCAAAAAGGTGGTGCTTGACTTATATTACATCCCTCTGTAGCAGAGTGAAACCAATCCATTGTCCTTTAAATATGTGAATTTATTTACAATGTAATATTATATATAAATTCATTTGAGAATGATTTGAGGTCCTGATGAAACCAATCTGTCCTAATTTCATAAAGATATATATTTTAGTTACAATATATTCTAATATATAAAGTAAAATATACATTTAATTTATTAGATTGATTTGAGGTCCTGATGACACCAGTTTACAGATATTGTAAATGTCAATTGATTGCTACGAATTGGGATTTATTATTTCTTGCTTTTACAAAGCGTTATTGTTTCCAGCTTGGAAATGTACAGCAGTGTAGTTTGTGATTGTTTGAACCTTTGCCAGGAACTATAGGCAGACACTGAACCTCTTGGAAATTTAATGTCTTTATAGTTACAAACTTTTTGAATTAATAATCCTACATAGTTGGACTTCTTTTTTCCCCTCAAATCAGAGCACATCATTTTTGTGGTTTCTTGCTGTCATGGTAATATTGTCATACGTTTATTCAGTAGAAGGTTTGGTTATGTAAATGATTAATCACGGAGTGAATCAGTTTGGGTAATCCACGCCTGAAGTCGTGACTCTCAGAAGATTTACTCACATTTCCCCCAACAAACTGGAAACAGGCTTTTTCTTCAGGCTGTAATGATATGACAGAGTGGAACTAGCTGATTGTTTTATCATCACTCCTCTGAAGACCTGCCTGTTATTAAGCGTAATCTGCATAGCTTGGTAGAATAATTTATGAAGAATGAAATTCACATGCGCATAAACACTAAGTGAGAATAACAAGCTTAATTTTAGGGAACTTCTGTGCCACTTAATATGTAAAGAAAGATGCTGATTGCTCATTAGGACTTCACTCTGTCTGCTAATCAAACGGCATTGCCACCCAATCTGTTGTGATTTTGAAAGAAAGTTAGTCCACCGGTTTCACTATTATACTGAGTGGAATATATGTTGAAGCTACTTTTTGACCCTGTGTGTTTTTTGTACTATGATAGGTGAGATAAGTCACTATGTGATCCTGCGTGATGGACAGGAGCGCTACCGTGGCACTGATCATAGCTTCACTGATGCAGGAGGAATCCGACCTTTTCAGGAGTATGTGTACCAGCTCAGAGCCTGTACTGCTGCCGGCTGCACAGACAGCTCAAAAGTGAGTCTGTTTCTCATCTGCCTCTCATCTTAATCCTTGTAGGCAGAAAATCATGCACAATACAGCAGTAAAGTGTATTATTTCTGTTCTTCTACTGGTGCCAAATGGTATTGCAACAATAATGACTGTTTCCATACAGGTTTCCCAAACACAACCTACCATCTGTTGACCAAATAAACAATCCCTCCCCAAACGTACACTATCGGTTGAGACAATATTGCTGTGTCGGACTGGTAGGGATGCTCTGGTCTGACACAGCAACATTGTCTCAACCAATGGTATAACATTGGTTCAACGTTTGTGTAACATATACTATACCACCAAAAAGACACAGTGTTACACTTTATGTGGAAAGAATTCTACAAATGACTTTGTTTCTGCTCATTAAACTGGGACAGGAAAAAATATTTAACATGTTTATTCAGTAGAAGGTTTGGTTATGTAAATGATTAATCACGGAGTGAATCAGTTTGGGTAATCCACGCCTGAAGTCGTGACTCTCAGAAGATTTACTCACATTTCCCCCAACAAACTGGAAACAGGCTTTTTCTTCAGGCTGTAATGATATGACAGAGTGGAACTAGCTGATTGTTTTATCATCACTCCTCTGAAGACCTGCCTGTTATTAAGCGTAATCTGCATAGCTTGGTAGAATAATTTATGAAGAATGAAATTCACATGCGCATAAACACTAAGTGAGAATAACAAGCTTAATTTTAGGGAACTTCTGTGCCACTTAATATGTAAAGAAAGATGCTGATTGCTCATTAGGACTTCACTCTGTCTGCTAATCAAACGGCATTGCCACCCAATCTGTTGTGATTTTGAAAGAAAGTTAGTCCACCGGTTTCACTATTATACTGAGTGGAATATATGTTGAAGCTACTTTTTGACCCTGTGTGTTTTTTGTACTATGATAGGTGAGATAAGTCACTATGTGATCCTGCGTGATGGACAGGAGCGCTACCGTGGCACTGATCATAGCTTCACTGATGCAGGAGGAATCCGACCTTTTCAGGAGTATGTGTACCAGCTCAGAGCCTGTACTGCTGCCGGCTGCACAGACAGCTCAAAAGTGAGTCTGTTTCTCATCTGCCTCTCATCTTAATCCTTGTAGGCAGAAAATCATGCACAATACAGCAGTAAAGTGTATTATTTCTGTTCTTCTACTGGTGCCAAATGGTATTGCAACAATAATGACTGTTTCCATACAGGTTTCCCAAACACAACCTACCATCTGTTGACCAAATAAACAATCCCTCCCCAAACGTACACTATCGGTTGAGACAATATTGCTGTGTCGGACTGGTAGGGATGCTCTGGTCTGACACAGCAACATTGTCTCAACCAATGGTATAACATTGGTTCAACGTTTGTGTAACATATACTATACCACCAAAAAGACACAGTGTTACACTTTATGTGGAAAGAATTCTACAAATGACTTTGTTTCTGCTCATTAAACTGGGACAGGAAAAAATATTTAACATCTGTTATAACTTATGAGTATAAATTATTTTAAACATGTTTGTCAAAGGTACTTTTCAAGTGGAAAAATGGTGCACATTTACAATCACTGCATATTTTCCTATTGTCCTTGGTCTTTGTTATAGTCCTACCTGCAAGTATTACGAGCATTGTCTAAGAGCTGCAAAACACTTGAGTCGTACTCCCCCTTTCATTCCAATGTTATGTGCCAAGTAAACAGGATATTTCTAATGGCAGGCTAATGGAAGCAGAGCAACAGCTGACTTCCTGCCATAATTGTTGTCTCCTTGTAATAGCTGTCAGCGGCTCAGCTGATGAAAGAGCAAATTAACCTGTCTATCTTCTCTTTTTATGTCTAATTTAGGATCCGATTATCAATAACCACACAGATCTGCTAGAGGCAAAGTACGAAGAACCTCCCAGAGCAGTGTTAGGTCCATTTTTCTTTCCACACACTTTCCACACACAGGTCTTGCCCGGCACACCAATTGGCCACCAATGATCCAGTACTTCTTTCTTCTTCCCCATCGCACGATTGTTTTTAAGTGGAGCAGGATTAACTTGTACACCTGCAAGCATTGCCCAAACAGTTGCAATAATTTTCAGACTCAATACAAGGGGAGCAATTACCACGGGGCACCCTGTTGCCACTCAGCTGGACCCTGCTCAGCCAGCTCTGTCGGTGGGAATGAGGAACCTGGTTTAATCTTTGTGAACACTCTGCAGGCTCACAAGCACATCAGGCCAGTGCTGGGCCGGCCTACACGTAGCCGGAAAAAAAAACACCTTAACCACTTCTCGTGGCCCTTTCCTAATAGTCTGCCACTCCTAAAGACAAGAGTTGAAACCACTAGTGACATTCTATTAGAGCAGGATATCCAAGCCTCCATTAGGGCAAATTGCTCTGTAATTCTTTTTGGTGTGTGTGCAGGTTGTGGCATTGACTGTCCAGGGGGAGCCAGAGGGAATTGCTGCTCCGGTGGTGAGCGTGCTGGGGCCCAGGGCCCTAAGGATCAGCTGGGTAGTTCCGGCCAAACCGAACGGTATCATCCGAGAGTACCGCATCAATCAGAGCACTGTTGGAGTCATCCACACACATACAGAAGGGGAGATGGCTTATAATGTCGCAGGTATTACAACTACACTACTTTTCAAAAGTTTGGGGTCAGTATGGTTTTTTTTTTTTAAAGAAAAAATATTAAGCAAGTTTGCATTAAAAAAGGTCTAAGGTGACTTATACTTTTACATTGTTACAAAATAATTTTCAAATAAATGCTGTTCTCTTGAACTTTCTATCTATCAAATAATTCTGAAAAAAATTTATTGTTTCCACAAAGATGTTAAGCAACTGTTTTTTTTAACACTCATAATAATAAGAAATGTCCCTTGAGCACCACATAAGCATATTAGAAGGATTTCTGAAGGATCGTGTGACACTGAAGACTGGAGTAATGACTGCTGGATATTCAGTTTTACCATCACAGGAATACATTTCATTTTAAATTATATTAAAATAGAAAAAAATTATTTAAAATTGTAATAATGTTTTTCAGTTGTTACTGTATTTCTTATCAAATAAATGCATTCTTTATGAGTATAAGAGGCATCCTTCAAAAATATTTAAAAATCTTACAGACCTAAAACTTTTGAATTGTAGTGTAATAATAAATAATATTATTTTGTTTGTTTTATATATAAACAGTAGTTACATTTGATTGATTATTTTTATGATATGTACTTTTTTGTAGTCTGTTTTTTTTTTTGTTTTTTTTTTTTATAATTTGTTTTAGGACCTTAATATAAATAATTTAAACATTTCATGTGGTGAATTATAAATAATAAATATCCCGAAAATTAGTGTAACTAAGTAATGGCGGAGTATATTTTGAACTGTAAAACTGATTAACATTGAAGAAAAGCTTGTATCTTTTACCTATAGACTATTAAGCAGCAACACTCTGTGTTATGTTGGCAATGGACAGCTGCACAACAGCCAACACACACAGAGAGAGGGATTTAGATTAAGTGCTCACAAACATCGTTCCAAGCAAGATTTACATTTTCTCTAAGCAGTATCTGTTTTATCTGTTTTTGTACTAAAAGTTTGTATTATTTTTATTATGATCATAATATTAATACAATAATATAATAATTCATCAATTTTTTTTTACATTTTTGTACACATTGTCTTAATATAGTCACTAATTATAATGTCTGCAACAATAATGTAATGTTTAGAGGATTTAGAGGATTTTCTCATCAAATATTGATGCATGCATTAATGCAATTTATTATTATAATTAGTATATAATGAAATTAAATTCAGTAAATTCAGGTAAAATTCAGGTAATCATTTGGAGGCATTATTATTATTGTTAGTAGTAGTAGTAGTATTTCTTAATGATACTAATGATGATGATAAGAATAATTCACAAATACGCAGGCATTTTTTTATGTCTGCTATAGTAATGTAATGTTTGTAGGCTTTTCTCAGCAAATATTGATATGTGCAACAGCAGCAATAATAATAGCAGTGGTAATAATAATTATTATTATTCTTATTCTTATTATATATTTATTCATTAATTTATTGATTTTTAGTCTTAGTGGAATATGTATTTTGTTTCCTTTGAAACATCATTTTGAACAGGTTTCTGTTCAGATAGCACATTTGTGGTGTAAGTGTCTGCCTCTATGGACCAAATGAAAAAAGTGAATGTTTCTCTCTCCAGCCTGTCGACACTATCACTGACATGATTATCAAACCTGAGTCGGGCACATCGTTTTGAAGAGCATCTGATCTCTTTCCAGTCAAGATTAATCTGAATGAATCGCATGCAGGGAGCCGCTCCTCTGGGAATGCTAACATCACAAAACGCCAGAAAGAATGACATCCTCGCTTCTTGTGTTTGAGCTCATGAAAATCAGGCTCATTTATGTGAATATATTGTATGTTTTTTGTTTTTGAGAGCATTCTGACTATGTAGTCTGTGTAGTTTAAACACCTCGTAAGTGAAGTCTTACTGAAAGCAAGCGATGTCGGCTGCTCTCGGCTGCTGTTCTTTGTGAAGAATCTCCTGCCGTGTAGTTCTTGCTTTTCCTCTCCGAACACAAGCTCAGACCTCCCTGCCTTCAGCAGCGCTCAGCCACTGGCTGCCTGTCAGTTCACTCCAGAGGGCCCGCTGGGAAGCACCACATCTTTGTAAATAAGCTTGAAATCAGCAGGGACCTTCAAATGGCTGGAGCTCCTCTGCAACTCGCTGTCGACCAAAGATATTTCAGTAAGCAGTGGTGGTAAGGGGCTTTCGGAGTTCTCTCTGTTCCTCTGAAGGCCCTGAAGTTGGCAGCGAAGGAACGCACCAAACCAATCAGCCAGTCCTGGATCCTGGGGAGGGAGGGGATCTGATGGCAGATTTGGCTGGCTGGCAGTGTGGCGTGTTTAAGACTTGGCTGGGGGTGATGGCAGGCATAGGCAGACCCGTTGGCTGGTATGTAAGGTGGCGGTGATGCTGTTCAATCGCTGGCAGGGGCTGCAAATGCCTTTGCTCGGAGTTTCCTTTGTGGAGAGACTCTAAAGCCGCGTTGAGACTTTCATGTCCCACTGTGCAGAGCTGGTAAATCCTACCAGTGTTTTGTGGTGTGCGCCAACTCGACCGGCTTGAGCGTCTGTGTTTCAGTGCAGACTGCTGCTGGGAAACACCTCTGTGCTCCTTAAAACCTCCAAACTTCTTACCCTCCCTCACTTGACATGATTAAACACACACACCAGAGTACTCAATCTTCCTGCTTGCTTTCGCTGTGGCAACAAAAGCCGCCACTTTAAACACCACATTAGACACACTGGATTAGAGATTTAGCTTTTTTCTATGTGGTACCTATGAAATAACTAATACTAAAACTTTGATTTCAAAGAAAGTTGCATTGCGATTGTTATATGTGCAAGTTTACATCTGCCCATACTATAAAAGACTGAAATTGACTGAAGATGTGTGACGCATGGAATTGAAAGTGATCGTGTTTAAACATTTCTATGCTGCCCTTTGTAGCTACAAGAGCTGTGCGCACGTTCACACGCACTGTGAGAGCCGGTCTTTTCATATGACAACTCTCCTAGTGACAAAGACAGCTCCTGTCCCCTTTGTTATTGTAATGAATGGAGACCAAATAAATGAAAGGCATCAATAATTAAAGCGTTATTAGTTTTAACTGTGGCTTCAACACATTGGGAAAATGCAGTGAGCGAGAAAACGGTTTAAAGCTTTTTTTTTAATACCTTTTGAATGTTGTTTTTAATAAGGAAAACAAAATGACTAAAAACAAAAAGTGTTAGGAATGTTGTCCTAAACTCATGGATTTAATATAAATTGGATTACTTAGATGGTATAATTAAGATTGTAGATTACACCTCAAATGCCCTAAATAGGGCAGAAAAAAGCTGATTAATTTATTTTTATAAATATGATGGAAATTGCAGCGTGACATGTGCTTTAAGTATTTGCATAAAACATTTATTAAAAATAATATAAATTATTTGTCCAAATATGAGAGAATTATACATGCCTGTGAGATAAAACTCTTAATATTGTGTAGTCATTGCAAATTAGCTCATGTTAAATTAACTATCAAATCCCCAAAGAATCTAAAATATGTATAGCTTTTCATTAACTGATGTGAATTATTGCTCTCAATTATATAAATTATGTTGCAAGCCATGCGTTTAATTGGACATTTGCAAAATAATTTATTTATTAATATACAGTAGTACTAGCATTTATATTTATATTTCCCACTAGAGTGCAAATCTTTAGTGAATCTTAATAAAGTGTAATACTAGAAAAGTATTCTAAGCATTATAACATAATTTGCACAATTAAAAACCGAAAGACATAATGTCACAATAAGCAACAGTCTTATGTAAGTGTATGAAGTCACTGGTTAGTTTTTAACAAGCACCACCATCATCCTGAGTTCCCTTTACCTGGCTTATCTGTCTCCCGTGTGCAGCTGCTTTTTCAGGGTTCACAGAGGTCTGCCCATGTCCTGATAGAAGAGAAGAACCTCTGCCTCCTAAATTATGCGTGAGCGGGAGGAAACCGATCCTATAAAAGGTATCAGGGGTAGTCTCCTAGCTTGGCCGACACGTGGAGCCCACAGATCGCTTCATAATCCCCTCCAGACAGAAAAAAACATTAAGTAATTGTAGACAGGATGTAGGCACTTAATTATTTAGAGGTTTTATCAATGTGGCAGGTAAAGTGAGTAAGCATTGCAGGCCTTTTCTTATCAGGTCGCCACGTTCAGGGATTGCACCTATCATCTTCTCATATTCTCTAATGCAAACAGTAAATGGCAGCTTGTCGATAAAATACCTTTTTATATCATTTATTACCTCACACTTCCTCGCGGTGCTGTACAGAGCAATTTGGATGACAGTTACGGCATTGTTTCACTTTGTGTTAGCCATGTGCTACAAATGGGCCGCTGTGTGCTTAGGGGGGTTAGAGATAAAAAGAAAAAGATTTTAGCTCCTGTTTATTTATATATTTATTTATTTGCCATTTTGATTAAAGGTGCATACGTCTTTAATAGGCTAAGAGTGCCCCCTTCAGTTTGTATGAGAATTCAAAATCTTACTGAGAGTGATGTTGTTAATGGATTTTTGTATCTATATGTATTTATTATTATTATTGTTGTTTATTATTTTATTGGAATAATATGCATGCATATTAATAATTATGAATTCCTGCTTGTGATTAGACAGCATATGCTTCCTTTAAGTGCAAATTCATGTAAAGAATTTAAAATAAAATATTTCAAATTATTTAATGTCACCTTTCCTACCTATAATAATAATAATAGTAATAATAAATTGGAATATTAATGCATTTACTAATACTATTTCTATAACTAACCACCTTAAGATTCATTCTGACTAATCATTCAAAAGATTTATCTGAATAACTTTAGTTATAATCTTAGTAATAATCTTCCTATTATTTTCCCAAGTAGATTGATCTCTAAATTAGGTTGGATTTACACCATGCAAATGCCTTCAGCCCCCCTGAACACCTAATGTTATAATAACTTACCCCTAACACTATAATAACCTAGCCCTTCTAGAATACACACCTGGACATGTTTTGCATGGCGATGTGTTAAGCGCAGCTTTAAAGGCAGTATTCAGCGGTTGTCCCCTGTGTTTAGTATGCTCAACAGAATTCTTTACTTAACCCAAACACCGCTCAACGTTCTGAAAACATTGATCTGTGTTTGGGTTAAATGAGAGAGGCCATCAGGCATACTAAGCAGGAGCGCGGGTACATGCGTTTCTCCAGATGTGGAGGCAGTGCTCCATGGACACAGGCACGGCTTTACGGGGTGCACAGAGTTCAGGAATAGAGTGAGATTTAAAGTGCTTCAGGATTAGAACCAGATTTAGAGTTCTTACTGCTGAAGATGCATCTTTGTCACAGGTGCTGTGTTAGACACCAAATTACTCAAACTTTTTGTATTATTCATTCATTCATTCAGTTATAATAAACCCAATATTTCTAATTATATTATAAATTATTTATAAATAATAATTAATTGTATTTTTTTGTCAAATTATAATTACAATAGCATGTATACACTGCTTTTTAATGAAACAAAAAGCTTTTGTTGATTCTGTTATTTATACATTTAGCTGTTCATTACTCCATTGGCTAAAATATTACATTAAACAGTCCAAGAATATTCTGGAAGGAATATTCTTGTCATGTGAAGTACATTAATAAGAGCTGTTAGACAAGAATGGGACAACATTCCTATTCCTAAACTTGAGCAACTTGTCTCCTCAGTCCCCAGACGTTTGCAGACTGTTATAAAAAGAAGAGGGGATGCCACACAGTGGTAAACATGGGCTTGTCCCAACTTTTGAGATGAGTTGATGCCATGACATTTAAAATCAACTTATTTTTCCCTTAAAATGATACATTTTCTCAGTTTAAACATTTGATATGTCATCTATGTTGTATTCTGAATAAAATATTGAAATTTGAAACTTCCACATCATTGCATTCTGTTTTTATTCACAATTTGTACAGTGTCCCAACTTTTTTGGAATCGGGTTTGTACATTTAAATGAGCTAAATTAGTATTGATAGTTTTATATATATGTATATATATATATGTGTGTGTGTGTGTGTGTGTGAAAATATAAATATTAAATATATTCCATTATATTCATATTTAATATTATTTAATGTCTTGACCAGGTCTCTCTCTATAAGAAGAGATTGCAATATCTCAGTGGGATTTTCCTGGTTAAATAGGAATTATTATAAGTAAATAATAATAATAATACTTTGAAATTATATTATTATATGTTTAATAATAAATTCATTAGCACCTATGGATATGGACTGTAATTGAGGAGGTGATTGTTCTGTGTGGAGTTTAAAGGCAATACTGTTTATTACCTTCATGACTGTTTTTGCAGGTCTGGAGCCTCACACCAACTACAGCTTCATTGTTGTTGCATGCACTACAGCTGGTTGCGGAGCAAGTCAGCCATCTATGGGCCGCACGCTGGAAGATGCACCAGCAGGTTAATGCACAGGCACATACACACACTCACTCATCTCATATCATCTCACAGTAAAACATTTCAGAACCTTAAAAAATTGAGTTCTTTTGATTTCTCAATGCATAATCACTGTTATTATACTGTATGTATATATATATATATATATCATTATAATTAAATATATGTATCAAATGATGAAAAATCATTCTGGCCTTCTATCAACACTTGCCTCTTCCTGTCCTCTTTTTTTCTCTCCCTCCCTCCCTCCCTCTCTCTCTCTCTCTCTCTCTCTCTCTCTCTAGATGTGTGGACAGTGCCCAGGCATATACAGGTGAACTCCTCAGCAGTGGAGCTTCACTGGAGCCAACCTCTCAAACCCAATGGCCTACTCTCTCAGTATCGGCTGCTGCGTGACAGAGTGGTCGTCTTCACCGGTGACGGAGGAAAGATGAGCTACATAGACACTGGCCTTCAGCCCAACACCAGGTTCTATCTATCAGCCATCTTTAACAAGCCATTAGCACTTGATTATCGATTACATCTAATCCTATGTGTGTCTTAAAGAATCCTGGGACTCTACAATAACAGAGCTCTTCAGTAACAGAGCTGTTCTGATACCAAATCATTAAAAGTTTTTTAAGAGGAGTGAGCAGGGAAGCAAGCTAATGAGCAGCAGTGTTGGCTTGGAAAGTTGCATTGATCGCGTTCCCCTTGTTACTCAGGAAAGGACAGCAACACAACTTTTCTGCTGTTGATGGATAATGAGAGAAATAGGAGTTTTTCCATTTTTTTCATACATTTATTAATAGTATTACATAATTGAAAAAAGTCAAATGTCTCTCTCAATCTTTCTCTTTCTCTCTGTACTGTATATTATATACAGTATATTCAATATATATATATATATATATATATATATATATATATATGGTTATTATTAGGGATGCACCAATACCACTTTTTCCAGTACTCGCCCGATACAGATACTTTTATTTTTGGTACTTGCCGATACCGAGTACCGATACCAATATTTTTATTGCATTTGTAAATTTTTTAAATATTGGGTACAGAAACCAAAAGAGTATGTATAATGTTAGTTGGTTAACTTCATTTATTAAATAGATAGTCAAACCAAAATTTATTCAGACACCCACATTTCTCACATTATATTTAGAAAATGGTAATAAAATATGCTAAGAACTGAGCGTTAAATTGTGTCAGAACAAATTCAGCTTGATAATGTCAGATAACTTTGATAGAAAGGTATGTAATAGATTACAATCAACCAAAAATTAGACAGCTGTTAGTATGACAGTATTTACACAACTATCAATACTTAGTCGGGTAGCCAATAGCCTTTATAATAGCCTGTAGTCTCCTGGGCATGCTGTCACCCAGCTTCATGCAAACCTCAACTTCAATGTTTTTTGAAAAATGTTTGGTCCCAAATTTGTATCAATTTTACTGGTAGTCCACTGTATGAAGAATTTTTAAGTATGATTTGTCACAGTTTACTTTATTTTGCTGTCCTCACTTACATAAATGAACTATAGTGTCCTGCACCCACTAGTAAAAAAATATAAAAAAATTATATCTGGTCTCTGAATAATTTTTGGTTTGACTGTATATCCTTCGGTTATTTTCACACTTAATTATGCACATTAAAATGTATTTTACAAGTTTTTGTTACTGTCACGGTTCCTTTTTTTGCTCTATGGTACATCATCTTTAATTTAATAGCATTGGAGCTGCTTCATTGCAGCGGCTCAGTACTGTAATCAAGCACTTTGCTGTAATAATGTAGGGAACCACTCGCTATAAATCTCTTAACTGTGATATTTTCAGAAATAGAAGTCGGGTTTTTTTCAACTGAAACGTGCTGCGATTTATATTCCAAAGCCACTCATATAATGCACAAACACTCAAGCAAGCAAAACGCGCAACGCGTGCACGTATTTGTAGCCTACTGGTCCAGAATGAGAGGACAGTAGTACAGCCTAGCGCATTTCACACAGGCTGAAAGTCGT